AATAGTAACGCTGGAATACCATCACTTTCTTTCATTCACCGTTTAACGTACGAAAACAATGGCTTAAAACAAGTACAGTTATCGTATGCCAACTGTCGTTCGTAAGTGGCATGGATTTGGCTATGGTATTTTTAAATATATTCCGGAGTTTTTTATTTGCACTTAAATGATTCGTTGCCTGTTATTAAGAATAAATCCTAGAAGTGTTTACTGCGCTTCAACAACTCTCGGAAGGCAATGTGATAGCTTACGTGCTGGCCACGGAATAAAAGGTGCTGTTACGGACTCGAATGCAGCCTTAAACTTATTCCATACGTCTTCGATCGATACATCCGCATCGACCGACTAGTCAATCGAGATAGCACAGTCTCTGATTGCCGGAATATTAGATCTCTAGATATTGGAATGGGGTGAGGCAGATACAAAGTGTATACCATGTGTCTGAAACTTAAAGTAAATTACAACGTGATCTAAAGCAATTAGTCCCTTTGATAAATTTCGATAATGTAATAAGAAGACGAAGATTATCAGAACTATGTGATATATTAGCGCAATACATTTCGAACAATCTGATCACACATATACTTGTTAAGAACATTTATATATAAAATAAAAGGTCAACTAGACTGGTAATAAGGTTAAGAAATAGACAAGGATAATAATGATAAAATAATGTGAAAACAACTTGACACCTAATCACTCTGGATAATAAGCATTTATTACCAGGGTAGGTTTAAGGAGAGAACAAACTGTTTTTGAATACACAAAGGGGCTTTGAATTTTCGTATGGCTAAGGCTTCAATAAACCTCAGTATACGCCCTTTTACACTTTTAAACAACACAACGAAAGCTGAGTTAAGATCAATCTTATGATCTGTTTCGATTATATGTTTAGCAACAGAGGATGATGGATGTTTATCCTCTACTCTTATTGGGTCATTCGACAACGTGATCACTATTCACCAGTGAATGAAGTTGTTGAATGTCGACGACATCCTCACAGTGGTGTATGAGGATAAAGTCCATCAATGATGGGACATGTTCCAAGATAATATGTGTCGGTTATACAATATACTATACAAATGCACGCTGAATAATTGTTAATACGTAGCTGAGAAAAGCCCACCTGAAGCTGTGAGCTCTAACCAGTTGATATCGGGACCAAATTATTCCACCATCAAACCTGGCTCGAACGTTTTATCTCGAGTTCGTGTAGCACACATTTAAGGTGTCTTGGAAATCATACGTTCTACCCGTACATGTCTCGGAAGCATCGGCTTCCAAGACCTGACTACCCGAAAACCCTTAATCATAAGGTTCGTTTCTCCATTTAGCTTTCGAGTTTTTAACTCCGTAAGCGCATTCTTCCACTTGATTCGATCTTCAATCGGCCAATCTGGCCGAAGACGAATATTTGACTAACGAGTTTTGTGTGCGCTATTCAATATTACGCCTTTTTCGTCAAAATTCACGAGTACTAACTTCAAGATCCTTCTTTGTTAGGTCTCGCCTCCAAGCCATTTGCCGAGTCTTTTAACTTTTGTTATGTGTACCTCAAAACCTCTTCAGGCAGTACACTTCAGATGACAGATTCCACCAACTGCCGATCGTGTGCGTCTCTTTTAACATGGTCATTGTCTTTCGACTCCTATAGATTCCAGATAATTAAATTAGGAACGTGTTTAACTTCTTTAAAGGTCGTGTTCACAGCTTCCGACTGTGATGTCAGATTCTGCTTGTTAACTGCTGGTACCTTACCGTTAGCTTTCCTTGTGACAGTGTCGTGTGAGTCGACCAAACGTGTCCCATCTATGATATGGCTAAGTATTGTCTTACTTTCGGACTTTGGCGGATTATTCTGAGACGCAGGTTGTGAGCCCAATAATGACTTCTCATGTAAGCGGGCGCTTTTTTCGACTATCTTGCCTTCTCTTCCACGTTTTCAAGTCATCCATTTCCCATCGGTCGCAACATACACATTCGAACTACTCGGGACGATAATGGTTATACCAGGATCATCAGTCGCTGCTAAAGCAACTTGTCCATCAATATTTAAAGGTTTATCGCTCATTAATTGTTTCGGCGTAGAAAGTTATTTCGTGTTATATAGTTGGGTGTCAGGCACGTGCCATGACAGCACTTACGACGCTGACACATTCTTCGTTATCAGTACCCATGTTATCGGTATAGCCCTCATCAAAATTTTTGTTAGCTTGTGCCAGAAGGCTAATTGCTTCTTGAATGAGTAATGTTTTGCTCGAACAACAAAACACACAGAGCCAATGAGAATCAGGCTTTGAGAACCTTTTATAAGCAATAGGACTTAAGCGGGTACGCATTTTATGGAACCACTTCTTATAATTATCACATTGCATTCCTTCTTATACAGGGAATAGACACTATAGCTGTTAACGCTTGTGCGCAGAGCCAACAATCTTAAAAATTAATTAAAATGGTAGACAATAGATGTGTAAGGAAAACCTAAAATTTCGACCAAATCAATCAAGTCAAAGTCGACCAAGTAGGCTTTGATGCAATAAATACACAAAAGAAAGGTCAAAACACTTGAGTATAATATCATTTTAAGTGAAATGAATTCAAATAAGGTTTTAACAGAAGTTTTGATGAGTAATTTACAATCAAAACTGTAAATTAACTCAGCAAAAAACAATACCGATGTCCTTTTTAAATCAGTCTTCAGTAATAAGGATAGTAGGTTGATGAACCGACCAGTCAATTGAGATAGCATAGTCCCTTATTGCCGGAATATTAGCTCTCCAGATATGGGGGTGGAGCGGATGCAAATTCTATACCATGTATCCGGAACTTAAAAGAAAGTACGACATGGTCACTATTCACCAGTGGGGAAGGTGTTGAATGTCGACGATATCTTCACAGTGGTGTGTGAGGACAAGGTCTATCAATGACGGATTATGTTCCAAGTCTATATGTGTCGGCTTAACGATACATTGTGCAAGTGCACATTGAATAATTGATGACAGAAGGACGCTATCGAAACCCCCACCTGGAGCTGTGAGCTCTATCCAGTTTATATGGGGTGCATTGAAGTCTCCAACGATGAGACAACATTCTGCTTTACTCCAAGAACAGACGCGTTTTAGGATAAAGTCGTCAGCGAGACAACACGGACTACGATATATTCCTCCTATCGTCACTAACCCGTTTCTAGACCTAATTGTACAACATACTACCTCACACGTACCACTTACATGCGCCTCCGATATGATCGAGTTAATGCGGAAGTGGTCCCTAACATATAATATCATGCCTCCTCCCTTGCGACTTCTAACTCTATCACTTCTGACACAGATGTAGCCTGAAATGACTGGAGAACAGTCTATATCTACAGTGAGCCAAGTTTCGGTGATAACAATTATATCCGGATTTAAGTCGTCTACCATCAAACTTAGTTCAGACATCTTATTCCGAAGACTACGAGCATTCGTATAACACACATTTAGGGTGTTTTTGGAGACATGCGTTCTACCCACACAGGTCTCGGAAGCATTGGCTTCCAAGACCTGACTACCCGAAAACCCTTAATCGTAAGGTTCGCTTCACCGTTTAGCCTTCGAGTTTTTAACTCTGTTAGGGCATTCTTCCACTTGATCCGATCCTCAAGTGGCCAGTCAGGTCGAATACGAATGTTTGAGTCACGAGTTTTGCGTGCGTTATTTAGTAATACGTTCCTTTACTCAAAATTACCGAGTACTAATTTAAGGATCCTTCTCTGTTTTTTTTTCGCCTCCAACAAACTTACCAAGTCTGATGACTTTCGAGATATGTACCCCTGGGACCTCCTCTGGCAGTAGCTACCGGCTTCTTACTGTTAGCTTTCTTTATAACAGTGTCATGTGGGTCGAGCGAGTTACTCCCAACAACATTTGGTGAAGTTAGACTATTTCCATCCACAACAGTATTAAATATTTTCTTACATTTGGACTTGAGCGGAGTTGCTTGATGCTCAGGACGTGAGTCCAACGATGACTCATCGACTATACGCGCGCTTTCTTTGGGTATTTTTCCTTCTCTTTTGCGTTTCCGCGTAATCCATTTGCTACTATTCTCAGCATCCAGATTGGAACTATTCTGGATGATAGTGGTTCTAGCCGGGTCCTCAGTCGCTTCTAAAGCGACTGGTCCCTCAATACTTAATGGCATTGCTTTCATTGGTTGTACCAGAGTACAAATTTTTGCTTCATGTTGCGAAATTGGGTGTCTGGTACCTGCCACGGCAGCATTTACGACACTGGTACAATCTTCATTATCAGTATCCATGTTGCCGGCACGGCCTACGTCGACCTTTTTAGCTAACGCTAGAAAACTGATGGCTTCCTGAATGAGTAATGTCTTGCTTGAGCAACAAAACATACAGAGCCAATGAGAATTTGATTTCGAGCACCTTTTATAGGCAGCAGGGCTTAAGCGGGTGCACATTTTATGAAACCACTTTTTACATTCGTCACATTGCATCCCTTCTTCCACGGGGAATAAGCAATATGGCTGTCCACACTTGTGTACAGAGCCGACCATCTTAGAATAAAGTAAAATGATAGGCAAGGTAGATATGTAAGATAAATCACAACCTTATCAAATAAACAAGCCTCAGTCGATCAAGAATGCTTTGATTCAGTAAATACACAAAAAGAGGACCAAAATACACAAATACAATGTCACGTTAACTGAAATAAATTCAATTAAAGTGTAAACAGTAGTTTTGATACGTAATTTACGATCAAAACAGTGAATTTGACTCGACGAGAAACAATACCAATGTCCTTTTTAAATAGCGCGCGTAAAAATCATCCGTTGAACTAACTGAGAGCAGACTACTTGACAAAATGTTGACGCTATTATTTATTTGCTCATTAATAACTCGTAAAACATAATTTTTCAATTACTAAATCTTAGTCTAATTGCCTAGTATATATTGTTTAGTGAACTTTTAAGGCGCTTGAGTCTCTTCAGGCGTTACAAAGATGATAGGTGGGATATTTATCTATAACCACAAAGGGGAAGTTTTAATATCAAGAATATTTCGCGACGATGTCTCAAGAAATGCTGCGGACGCTTTTCGAGTCAATGTTATTCATGCGCGACAACAGGTTCGCTCACCCATAAGTATAGTAGCAAGGACAAGCTTCTTTCATGTCAAAAGAGCAAACATCTGGATATGTGCTGTTGCTCGTCGTAACGTTAATGCTGCTATGGTCTTTCAGCTGTTACACGCTCTTCTGAACCTGATGAAGGATTACTTTGGTAGAGTTACGGAGGAAAATATAAAAAATAACTTCGTCTTAATATACGAAATTCTTGATGGTAAGTTGACTTTTCCCCTGATTATGGTCACAGAGGTGATTGATTATGGATATGGTCAGAACACAGATACAGGAATTTTAAAATCCCTTATTACTCAGGCTGGGACACGCACTGCCAGTAAAGAGGAGACTGCTCAAATAACAAATCAAGTTACTGGTCAGATTGGATGGCGCCGTGAAGGTATAAAATACAGAAGGAATGAACTGTTTCTGGATATCATGGAGTCGGTCAATCTTCTCATGTCACCGCAAGGTACTGTAGACACCATATTTCTTCCCCGTTTATTTTGTGCTTTAGTCTAGAAAAAATATGTTGATAACAAAACACTAAAGCCTAGTTTTTTTTCATGGTCTGTCGTTTATTTCGTAAAAGCTTGCAGATAGTGACTCTGACATCTGATAGGCTTAACATCTTCCCGTCCCAACAGGCTACGAAAATTCTGATTGCTAACACTTGTTTCACAAGAACAAAGAAAAACTGGTCTCATGGACGCGTTGTAAACCTTCATTTTCTCTGAAAGCGACCAAACTAGTTGACTACCTAACACAATTAACCAAATATGGTCCTATCTATTAAACTTTGAGTCGCATTTTGTGTGGGGGCTCTCGAATTCAAAGTTGGTGTGGTATGATTCGTACATGCAACCTAATGATCAAAAGTTGACTCCTCTAACTGTTATCCTTCAGCTCCACAAAAAAACTCCCACCCATCATGGTGTCAACGTGTCATACTATACCCGTTTCCTAATCTCATTTACTTCTGTTGACCTTTTTTGATATACTTCTCCCGTTGTCATTATTGTTTCTAATTTTTCATTTTCTTGTTAGTTCCTCATTATTGTGTTGAAGTGAAGTTTGACAACTCAGATTGACATATACTTATGCCGGGTCTTTTGTTGTTTCTTACTGTGTATTATGTGGGAAAATTGAAGTTTTTAAAAGCCAACAATTGAAAGTTTTCAATTTCACAGTTTACAGTTCATTTATATGTTCATACATGGTGTCCGAATCGAGTCATAGATGTATCACTAACTTAATTTTGTTACCAGATGTGACCCAGAAAGAATTTCATTGGCGGTCATGTTTGAGTCCTCTTCTTTACTTTGTTTGTTTTGACTGAAATCTCAAATTGCAACTTCAATTAGTCATAACGTAGAACTTGATACGTTTTTACATTGGTTCAAGCTGCAATATCCCGTTAGTATAAATATAAAATTATCAGACTAATTCCTAGAATAATAGAAGTAGTAACAATATGAGTAGTATTTAAGAAGATTAATCATCAGATTCGATTCTAGAAAGTATAAATTGGCGATATATAGAAACAGGACGTTACGAGGATCTCAGAAGCTCGCAATTCGGGAGAAGACAAACAAGAAAATTACAACTTATTAAAAGCAAATCAGTTAAACTGAAATTATATTACGGTAAATTATTTAGTGTGGATACTTCACGGAATTTAAATACATTTTTATGGGACTTTGTGTTAACAAATACTCAGTGTAAACATTCTTATCATTTTTCACTGATATATGGTTGATAAACAGTATATTTTGATAAATCATACTGGGTTAACATCTGAAAGCTTCTACCAAACCTTACCGTAGTTAATGGGGCATGGCAAAGAAGTGGATAGTAGTTTTCTCACAGTATTGATATCGTAAAAGCGGATTATTACCACGGTTCACGAAAGTATCAGTTTGAACGACGGAAAAGTATATAGTTCCTTTTCTTTTTAAGTATTTTGATTCCGTTCATCTTTTATATCATCGTGTTTTGTATGAAAGTTTTCATGGGCCCAACGTTGGACAGTTTTGAAAACTACTAGAACCAATAATTCGTGTGTTCATTTCTCATTGGGCTAAGGATCTAGATTTCAACTTGATCATTCTTCTCCCATTTATTTAGCTTTTTTCTCCTAGTAATTGTGAAAAAAACAATTGATTTGCATCTGTGTCATTTATTCCTGTGTTTTCGTTAAGTATGATGAAGACTGGGTGGTGTAATCAATCAGGTTATTCATTGAATCACAGCCTCAAACCTACATCCGATCAATTTTGTTGGTTATCAAGTTGTAATAAATGTGAATTCTAAATCATCACATAAATCACGTAATTATTAAAATGTACTGCATATTATCTAACACTAGTCCCTATTGTTCCTCTGTGCAGTTGCTACTAGAAGGTAACTTTGGGGCTCAGTTGTTTGACCATTTTTAGTGGTTGATTTGTATCCCGCCTAAGTGTACATCTCATAATGATGTCATTTAACTGTCTGAAGTAATATCAATTTTTCAACGTATTTTTGTGTTAGCTTCAAAATATGATTAATCCTTATTTATTAAAAATATATTCGACTCACTGATTTGACCAGTGTGATAAGTCAACCAAAATAGTAAAAGTTTATCATCATCAAATTTTTACTTCATCAGGACAAGTTTTATCTGCACATGTGGCAGGTCGAGTGATCATGAAGTCTTACTTAAGTGGTATGCCAGAATGTAAATTTGGTTTTAATGACAAAGTCAGTTTGGAAAATAAACAACGATCTACAGCTGGCACAGAAGATAGGTAAATTGCTTTTACTATTCGTTTAATTTAGAATTTACATTTTGAACTTTTAGGCATTAATAATACCGAATATATATTTAGCATTCATTTCTCGATAGTTCATGATATATATATATATATATATATATATATATGATATGGGCTTTAAAAGTAATCGCTAGAAAGCCATGAACCTAAGCTTAGCCTTACCGTTCTTCAACCGGCCTGCCTGGCATGGTAGGACCTTGAGAAACGATTATGCCAATTAGTATAGTCCGATTAGGTCATCACGATAGGCAAGCCCTACCACCACCTCAAGGTATCAGCAACTGACTGATTGATTAACATGAAGCGACTGTTAACCAGCTTGGTAACTTGTTCCGTTGTCAGTTCGTGAATGAAACTGAGTCTACCAAAAAAGTGTTACCAAAATCATGTATTCTAGGAACCATATTATCAATTTATTCAGCAACTTCTTCGTGATTAGAGCAATCATCGTATACGCTTACTTTCTTCCTAAAATTACACTGATGACCACTGCTTTATTCTTCACAATCGAATTCGCCTTGATTTTTCTATTTATCCATTTTGTTCTCTCTAATTGATTTCAGTAGTGGAGGTATTGCAATAGATGACTGTCAATTTCATCAATGTGTTAAACTGGGTCGATTCGAAACTGAACATACAATCTCTTTTATCCCACCAGACGGTGAATTCGAGTTGATGCGTTATAGAACTACTAAGGTAATTAATATGATGCAAATCATTTATTGTATATGCGTTTATGTATTCGGGTCTGAGCTATACCTTAAATATGAAATATAATTATATTATTAGTCAGTTTTAAATACCGAATTAGATGTTATGGATTGCGAACCTACAACCTGTTGGTTGAATTTCAGGTTCTTGAATCACATGAGGTTGTTACATCGTTAACATCCTATTGTTAAGCATGATGTTCAGTCCTTAATATGATGTTTTATTCACAAAGTTTGTTTACCTAGTTTATTCTCACTCTGAATTATCTTAACTTAAAACCATCTGAATGAGGGAAGTAAATCAACATACTCAGGATAAAATGAATTCTTTGCTTTATTTCTAGGTTTCTCATCAGCTGCAAACGCCTCTAAAATTACAAAGAGTAATGTGATTAGAAACAAGGATTAAACATACTTTACTTAGCGAATTCGAAATGGATGTTTGAAATGGAGATGAAAATCTTAATGAGTAGAAGAAGATACAATAAATAGGAATAAGCGTAGTTATGATTATCGCGTATTTTTGTGCTGAAGAAAATCCACAAAAACACAACTAATCATTTAAAGTGAGGGAAGCTACTAACCATAATAATAATAACAAAGGATGACATAATCACAATAGAATAAGTGATTATTATAATCAATCAGCATAGGTGAAGTCAAGATCAAATGATTGTGTAAAGTCAATCAGATTATATATCACATAATTATTATGACAAGGAGAAACTTATCACATTTTTCTTCTGTGCACATAAGTTAGGTACGAGTGAGATTAAGATTAGTTGTCCGTTAATTGTTTTAAATAGTTTAGAAATATCGACGCTCTGTTCATTATTTATTAAGACCCCAGTGATTGTTTATATATAAACCTTACTACCTTCCAAACAGGTTTCCTGGAACATATTCAGAAATTTGACAGAAGCTTTTGTTAGTTACCCCCCGCCTCATTTTATATAACTAGTTGTAATTTTGTAAATGTCCTTCAACACGGAGATAATCATTAATCATGTTTATTAAAGTGTCTTCTGCCTCCGTTTCAAACATCCAGTTCAAATTCGCTAAGTAAAGTATGTTAAAGCCTTGTTTCCAATCAGATTACTCTTTGTAATTGTAGGGGTGTTTGCAGCTAATGAGAAGCCCAGAAATTAAAAGAATCATTTGTTTTTTTGTCCTTACTTACTTACTCACTTACGCCTGTTACTCCCAGTATAGCATAGGCCGCCGACCACCATTCTCCAATCCACTCTGTTCTGGGCCTTCTTTTCTAGTTCTATCCAACTTTTGTTCATTCTTCTCATGTCTGTCTCTATTTCTCGGCGTAATGTGTTGTTTGGTCTTCCTCTTCTCCTTTGGCCTTGAGGATTCCATGTGAGGGCTTGTCTTGTGATGCAGTTGGGTGATTTCCTCAAAGTGTGCCTAATCATTGCTTTATTCATATTTATCAGAGATCAATTTGCATGAAATTAAGATTACCTAAATCAAGCTTATACATCGCTTCAGTTTCATTCAGCAATAAATTGATGATAAGTTCGTATACTTGGAATGAGAACGATATTTGAAACACGAATAAACTGAATTTTCGATAAAAAATAAACATTTAATAGTACGATTCAAATAAGTCAATTACCGGTTAGATAAATCGTTTGTAATTGAATCAGTGTTCGAACTATATTATCTTACAGTTTTACCACTTTTCATCTCTGTTCTCTAGCATTCCAACCAACTGCTGTAGTGTTTTGATAACCAAAGGTAAATACTCTTGACCATGACAGTATTGAAGAGTAAATCTAGGAAACTTCCTATTCTGTTTCGTGGCTCAAGTGAACCCAGAAAAAAAGAGTAAAATTTTAAATAGAAAGTAAATTAAACTTAACAGAGAAGACATTATGCGGTGATTACCCACAAACTTACATCACTCAATCCGATCACTTCACTCTAGAACACTTCGTCCTCTCCAACCAGATGCCCCCAAATGCCCTGGTACGGCCGAGAGTGGAGAGAGTCCGCTTTCCCTCTCGAAATGCTCTCATATGGCCAGCGAATATATAGTCTCTACCAGGGAAGTCCTACTCACTGCCTTCTCGTGGCAGGGGTGTTGTTTACGAAATTGAGAGGACGAAAAGCGAATGTCCGGCGCTTTAACCGGGTTGGTGGATGTGGAGTGTCCATCTAGAGGAGTTGGAAAACCTTGATTCCAAACCAATGGTGCACATGGGCTCCAGTATCCTGAGGGAACAAATGGCGTACGAATCAATCATTGATCACCGGCTACAATGGGACTGCATCTCCTCACGATGCTCCACTGCCTTGTGGACTAGATCTTCAGGTCAAGGGCTCCGGGTGTAGCCCCCTAAGAAAACCACCTGCTTCAGTTCGGGCACCTGAGCAGTATCACAGCCCTCACACAAATCGTATGAGATTTGTGAGGCGCATATATATCTGGTGCCTTCTTATACCAATATTTATGTGTTTAAATAAAATAAAATAAAATTTCAGATAACCATGGGCTTCCGAAAGTTTCTGGAACCATATGACCCAAACCAGAGAATTGTGATGAGCCGAAAACGACAGTCTTATACAGTTTTCATACCACGATACCGTATTAAACTTTTGTGATGTTGTCCGCCCCGTTTTCCATTGCTTCTTGAGTTTCAGTTTCATCTTGGCTATATCAGCTCCTCCCCTGATTCCCACGTCCTTCATCGTTCTCCTGAACTTTGTAATGATGCAGATGTGGTCGATTTGGTTCTGTGTGGTGTGATCCGGTGAAATCCATGTGGCTTTGTGTATGCGTTTGTATGGGAATATGGTGCCTCCTATGACCAGTTTATTGAAGACACATAGGTTTGCAAATCTTTCGTTCCTTTCTTCTAGTCCATGACGTCTTTATATCCAGTGTTGTCCATTCCAACCTTGGCATTTAGGTCTCCCATCAGAATGGTCAAGTCCTCTGTTGGACATTTTTCAACGATTGACTGCAGCCTATCGTAGAGTTTATCTTTAACGTCTTCATTGTAATCGTCGGTAGGCGCATGGCATTGGATGACGATCATTACAGTGCCTTTCCTCCTTTGTTTTGAAAGAGGCTTTGATGATCCTTGGTCCATGAGATTCCCATCCAATAAGTGCATTTTGTGCTTGTTTAGACAGCATTAATGCAACTTCTTGTGTATATGAAGCACTTTCTTCTTCATGGTCGGAGTATAACAGCAGCTCCTCGGAAGTTAGTCTTTATTGCCCCACCTGCATCCAATGTGTTTCACTGATTATAAGCACCTTCAGGTTGTATCCTTTCATTTCTGCAGCAACTTGGATTACTCCCCCGATGTCCAACATTGTACGGACATTCCATGTACCGAAATCAATGGTTGCTCTGGATGTCAGAATGGGCATCATACTTCCGAAGGAACTCGGCTTTCACCATGAGGCGTCATAACTCCTCTAAGTGAAGACCTTCTAACTCCCAGGGAAGAGTTTAAATGATTTGAATTATTTTTCTGGTTAGCGTTTTTTTAGCGAGTTAGTTTTCTACGAACTGAGGTCGCTACCTTATACCCAACCCTCCTTTACCCGGGGCTTGGGAGCGGCAGAGTAACGGTAATTCAACAGGTGTCACTATCTTGAAACATCGACTTCGGTGGCTTGGATATGTCCTACGAATGTCATCCCAGCAAATTTTACACTGTGTACTGCTTTTCGACGCCGTGACCGGTTGGAAAGGGCAGAGGTGGTCTTTGTATGGCATAGTGTCGTGATATAAAAGAAAGCTGTACAGGACTGGCTTATTTTGATCCTTCGCAACTCTAGTTTGGGGTCCTACAGATAGTGCAACGCAGTGGCTAGAGACGTTATCAGAGATGGTTCAGAATAGTAGTCAGTGGCGATCCTGCTGTAACTTTACTTTACTTTCGTCATAAAGTGGACGTATTTTCTTTAACCGAAAGAAGTTTTCTGATTGTATTTATCGTAAGTGAACTGCTTCTCCTATTGTTATTATTACTATTATTATTTCACGCTCATACACTAATTTCTGTTCATTATTGCTCTTTTATTATAATCACCTTCCATTTCCTCTCTTTGCAACCGGATTGTTATTGTGTAGTGCATATATATTTGGTAATCCTTGTACCAATTTTTGTGTTCAATTAAAAATAAACACAGGGTCTATGTTTGGTTGGAGTTTATTTATTTATTTATTTAAACACATAAATATTGGTACAAGAAGGCACCAGATATATATGCGCCTCACAAATCTCATACGATTTGTGTGAGGGCTGTGATACTGCTCAGGTGCCCGAACTGAAGCAGGTGGTTTTCTTAGGGGGCTACACCCGGAGCCCTTGACCTGAAGATCTAGTCCACAAGGCAGTGGAGCATCGTGAGGAGATGCAGTCCCATTGTAGCCGGTGATCAATGATTGATTCGTACGCCATTTGTTCCCTCAGGATACTGGAGCCCATGTGCACCATTGGTTTGGAATCAAGGTTTTCCAACTCCTCTAGATGGACACTCCACATCCACCAACCCGGTTAAAGCGCCGGACATTCGCTTTTCGTCCTCTCAATTTCGTAAACAACACCCCTGCCACGAGAAGGCAGTGAGTAGGACTTCCCTGGTAGAGACTATATATTCGCTGGCCATATGAGAGCATTTCGAGAGGGAAAGCGGACTCTCTCCACTCTCGGCCGTACCAGGGCATTTAGGGGCTAACCGAAATACTACTGAAATACTATAAATACTCTCGATTTTCTCTATATAAACTATCCTTGGAGCAAAGTGTTCTTTTCACACTTCATGTTTTTTCTCCCATGATCAAGTTGTTGTGTAAATTTTAGCTAGGGTTGTCAGAAGAGTTTATAAAACCTATTTTAGCGTTCACATAGAAGACTTATCAGAACAATTCTTTCTCGATGTACTTTTTTTAAAATGAACTCCATTTGTCAGTACATTATACTCTCGTCAATTTATTTTCACTCATTTAATTACCTTTACTCTTTCTTCTATCTCTTCATAGTTTTATGCAACAATTATACCATCAAAATAATAAGAGGAGTATTCTTAAAGCGGATAAGATAACATTGTATTTAACAATAAGACGAGTGGGGATAATCGAATGTATTTGATACGAAGGTTACAGAATATCTCACTAAAATCTAACAATCATACTTACTTATTTACGCCTGTTACCCCTCGTGGAGGAGAATAGGCCGCTCACCAGCATTTTCCATCAAACTCTGTCCTGGGCAATCCTTTCCAGTTCGTTCCAGTTAACATTCATCCTTTTCATATCTGCTGTTATTTCCCGGCGTAATGCGTTCTTTGGCCTTCTTCTTTTCCGCTTCCCTTCCGGATTCCAAGTTAGCGATTGCCTCGTGATGCAGTTTGGTGTTTTCCTTAATGTATGTCCTATCCACTTCCAACGTCTTTTCCGAATTACTTCTTCAGCTGGAACCTGCTGGTTTGTCCTCTCCCATAAAACGCTGTTGCTGATAGTATCCGGCCAGTGCATGTTGAGTATTTTACGTAAACAACTGTTTATAAATACTTGTACCTTCCTGATGATGGCCGTAGTAGTTCTCCACGTTTCAGCTCCATACAGTAGGACTGTATTGACGTTCGTTCTGAAGACTGTCACTTTGAAGTGAGTTGACAGTTGTTTTAACAACCATACACTAAACAGTTAATTTGCAAACTATTAATCAATAGTCTCAATCTTGACCATTCCTTCTGCAAATATCAGTCCATAGTTTCCGACTCTTATTATCGTTCATGCATTTTCATACCAATTGCGTCTCGTTCCCGTCCTCTCCTTATCGATCTTCTACTGAAATACATTCTCTGCCAGACCATCATTATATACTACTTATGTGGATATAAGTAACTCACACCATAACACCAGTTTATAAATTTTATTGGATAGACTATATACATTGAGATTTAATTGTTCTATGTAGGTGTTTTTTTCGTTTGCTTCTAGAGTAAATAATTGTAAATAAGAATTTGAAGAAAAAAGTATAATCCGTTTGTTTTTTTGTTGTTGCTTTGTCAACCCCTCCCCCCCCAAAAAAAACTAAAAAAAATATCAACAATGCTATTTTAGGAGATCAGTTTACCATTTCGTATAATACCATTAGTTCGTGAACTTGGTAAAACTAAAATGGATGTAAAAGTTATATTAAAAGCTAATTTTCGTCCCAATTTATTTGCACAAAAAATTGAAGTTCATATACCAACTCCAATGAATACAAGTGGTGTACAAGTTGTTTGTATGAAAGGTAGAGCAAAATATAAAGCAGCTGAAAATGCTATTATATGGAAGTAAGTTTATTGATTAGTTTATATGTTTAAATACTTTTGATTTTTAGTAATATTGTTATGAATTTTAATTTCGTCTATATATTCACATGGTCGACATGGAAAGTCCACCTAGGGGATTTGGAAAACCTTGATTCCAAACCAATGGTGCACATGGGCTCCAGTATCCTGAAGGAACAAATAGCGTATGAATCAATCGTTGATCACCGGCTACAATGGGACTGCGTCTCCTTACGATGCTCCACTGCCTTGTGGACTAGACCTTCAGGTCAAAGGCTCAGGGTGTGATCCCTTACGGAAACCATCTGCTTCTGTCTGGGCACCTGAGCAGTATCACAGCTTTGTTTATCTCTAGTGACCAATTAGAACGAAACCAACCGATTTACCTTTTATTGTTGTGTTATCACCATAATTCAATAATTGTGATCATGAGTCGATGGGAGCTAGACCACCATGGAAAACCTGGAAGCACTGGACGACCGTTTTGGCCTGTTGTGGATTCCTCAGCAGTGCACATCTACGATCCCGCTTAGCGAGATTCGAACCTAGGACCTATCAGTTTCGCGCGTGAGCGCTTAACCACTAGACCACTAAGCCGGCATTCAATTTCAACCGATCCACGATCCACTAATGTCTTCAGTGAGTTACTATCTCACAACATATCTGGTTGAACTCCACTGGTCACTGCCTCTCACTAGAACTTCAGGAAATACCTCATGAACATTAAAAAATATATCTTAAAGCCTGAGTACATGATCTTATTCATGATTGTTGCATTAAATTAAGTCACCATGTTCAAACTCTCTAGTTAAGTAAGTACCTGCTCAGTAGTTGTAATTAATAGTTGAAGATATTGGGTGACAAAGGGTGAAAAAATTATTTAGATTTATTTATTTGAACATATAAATATTAGCATAAATCGATACCAAAATAAATACGTGATGCCATATGAATAAGTGATTGAAATTATGAAGAGATAGAGGAAGTAGAATGAGAATATGATTAAAAAAAGGTGAATAAATGAGTAAAAATAAATTAATGAGAATAGAATGTGCCGACAAATAGAGTTCAGTTTACGAAAATACGACGAGAAAGAATACTTATTTACTTACTTACTTACGCCTGTTACTCCCAACATTCTCCAATCCACTCTGTCCTGAGTCTTCCTTTCTAGTTCTATCGAATTTTTGTTCATTCTTCCCATATCTGTCTCTATTCCTCGGCGTAATGTGTTGTTTTGTCTTCCTCTTCTCCTTTGGCCTTAAGGATCCCATGTGAGGGCTTGCCTTGTGATGCAGTTGGGTGATTTTCTCAAAGTGTGCCCAATCCACTTCCAGCGCTTCTTCCAGATTTCTTCCTCCACTGGAATCTGGTTTGTTGTCTCCCACAGTAACTTGTTGCTGATCCGAAGTATCTTGCGTAGACAACTGTTAATAAACATTCCGCCTGTAGCTCCTCCGGGGGCTACTACTGGTCCCAAGACCCGGTAAAGGAGGAGGGTTGGGTATGGGGTTAGCGACCCCATTCCGTAGAAAACCAACTCGCTAAAAAACAACGAGAAAGAATCGTTCCAGTTAAAAGAGTTCCTCTCACTGTTATAAGGAATGTATGAGAAAATTATAATAAGATAGTCATTGATTTCTATTCTGATCTATATCTAATAACATCTCGAACCCCTGAGTTACATTGTCTTTGAGAACCCGAACCAGGGAATTGTGATGGACAGATAGATGAAATTCCTATATAGATTTCTTCCATCCCTCATTGCTATGCCATGAATCAATCACCTCTACTTTTTCCAACCAGTCTTATCGTTGATAAATAAAACATCATGTGGAAGTCTCTGGGACGACATTCATATCACATATTGAAGCACCCATAGATGGTGTTTTAAGATATTTACATCAACTGAATTGTCATTTACCTACCTACACACATATTTCTGAACCTTTTTTTAACTAACATGGTGTTGCCACTGGATATCAGCAATCCTTCTGAGACAACAGTGAACGAACTCAGAGAGTTGCTTAAAATCCTCGACTCGGAGAGACTAGAGCTCACAAACATAGAGCAAGACGCATTGTAGACCCGACCTTCTACAGCTGAACTCACATCGCGATGGCGCCATAGATGACTCGAATTGGCATAAGCCTCTCTGGTTTTGACTATACGTGAGTTGATCTCATCTCTCACTTAACAACCAGCAATTACTCAGCTATCCATATACACGAACGTCTCTACTACTTCTAACTGTTGACTACCCAGAGTGAGTGCAGTATCAAGATCCTGTCAGTCTTGTAAAAGTACTTTACGATTCGAATGTGCAAAGTACGTACCATAACTATGGATATTGATTGTCAACTGATTAAGTGAGGATTAAATGGTTTGAGTATCACCACACCATAAGACTATCTTCTGCGCACCTAGAATCGAAAAGGCTTTCTCCAAGTAACAAATTCACACTACCATCATTTACTTTCATCAGATCAGTCCCCCAAATTTCATCCAATCGCAATTAACCCCAGTTGCCTTCATTCTCCCATCTTGTGTATTCTGTTAGGAAAATATTTGTAATGTTTATATTAAGTAATTTCATTAGATTCAACATATAAAGAAGTGTGGCATAACTTGATAAAAGGGAGATGTCACATGTAAATTTCATGATTAGTTACAGTTACCTTACTCGAATAACTTCAGATCTCATCCGATTAGTCAACACCGATAATGATCGAGTTTTGAATGAATTTCTTTGGCAAACCCATTTAAATGTCATGTTCCATGGAGGATGGGCAAGAAGCCGTAGTAACGAAAGTTATAACTTCTCCTATATGTTCTTATTTTGTTTAGGATTAGACGAATATCTGGTATGAAAGACTGTCAATTATCTGCGGAAATTGAATTGTTACAAGCTTCAGATAAACAAAAACGTTGGATGCGCCCACCAATTTCTATGAATTTTGAGGTTGGTTTATCATTTTTCATGTCACTATTATTATAATCCTTATTTATAATAAATTTTCTTAAGTACCGTTTCTTATAGATCTGATCACTCAGTACTTATTATTACAACAGGAAGGGACATTGTAAGCAAAGATGGATAGTGGCTAGCAGTGCTATCCAGGACGCGCGTTTCGTCCCATTCGGGACTCGTCAGCTGGATGTACCTGCATCTCATAGTTGATGTTCACTCTGGGACTAGAACCCAGTAACTTTCCCTTCAAACGCCATCGCTTTATCCACTCAGCTACTGAGTCCAGATAGCCACTTGCTTGTGCAATGGAGTGAATTTAAGAAGTGACATTGTTTGGAATCAGTCATAGTGTCATCGGTCCATTCACCATTTATTTATCTACATTTAAATCCAGTATCTCTCCATATATTCTTTTATTCAGTCTTCAGGAGCCATATTCTCAATGTTTAGTCTTGCTCATTCATAATTACTACTATAATTATTTTGACCCTTGTTGTGCAGTTACATCCAACTGATGATTATCAAATAAGACGAAATGTGCGTCCTGAATTCCACTGCTAGCCACCATCTACCTTTGCTTGTAATTTCTGTTATTGTCCCACTGATTTTACCTTGTCGTACCGATATAGTGTAGGAAATTGGACTAAAACACTTTGGTCCCAAGCTCTACGCTGATTATGAGTGATCGATAACAATTGTTGGAAACTATAGAACCTAGTAGCATTAGAAGATAGGCTTAGTATATGATGATGTGGAATAGTGACTTAGTTGTTCAAACATTTGGTTTTCAGTCAGTAGATTGGAGTTTCGGGCAACTCTCTCCTCCCTTACTCTATCTAATTCAGTTTAGTTAGTGGGATAATATCACTAGACCTCATATAGCTAATGTGTGATTCAAAGATGGATATTTAAATCTGTACCTTGGCAAATGAATGAATCATATCTAATAAATTTGGGATCATTACCATTGTCATCATCATCATCATCCGTGTATGTATAACGATTGTCTAAGGTTAAGTGATTAAAAGCGTTCTTCTCGTCTCTAAGTCTCTAGACCCGCGATCTGAGCCCATAATGATGGAATTATAATAATGTTAATGAAATGAATATCTTATTTAGTTCGTATATATTCTATCGGCGCATCCTTTTAATAACAACATACATATAAAAAGCTGAATACAAAAGTATTTTGATGGAGTTTTGTTCTCTGAGCTAGATGGTTCGGTCGTGGAGCTTTCATCGTCCTTCTGAACGACATCATCAGCACAAACTTCGGGTAGAAGTGAAATGTTTGAATTTCTCCACATGTGATTCACAGCTTGTCCTGTGCACCTCAATGTTGATTGGTTCTTGTTGACCTTAAATATGTCAGATGGAAGATGAAAGCTCCACGACTGAACCATCCAGGTCAGAGAACAAAACTCCATCAAAATCCCTCCCCGGAGCTACAAATCTTCTCCACCATCACAAAAGTATTTATAGAAAATATATTTCAGACAGACATTCATATAGATGAATGATAAGAGACGAGAAGAAATTCACATGAACTGGAGTGGCAGAAATAACCAACTGAGAGTGACTAATAAGTTATTAAATTTTTCTAATCATATAAGGAATGCAAAGAAGTAAGTATACATACACACGTTCAAGTCCACACTCGTGTATAGATCATATTGAGTGTTACACATAAACAATTGGCAAAGTCAAACATATGGATGATATAGGATAAATAGAAAGACTGGAATAATTTATCTGGTTATGTATTATTTATTTATTTAAACACATATATGTTGGTACAAAATGGCACCAGGTACATATGCGCCACACAAAATAATGAAAGTAGGAAGAGAAGGGATGAAAAGATAAGGCGGACTGAAATGTACAACCAGAAGACTCTTTCAGTTAAGAAAGTTAGAACCATTCTTTATGTAGAAATTAAAAGAAGGTTGCAGCAGGATCGCCACTGGCTTCTATTCTGAGCCATATCTGATAACGTCTCTAGCCACTGTGTTGCACCATCTCTCGGACCCCAGCCAGGGAGTCGTGAAGGACCAACAGAGGCTAGCCCTTTGCAGCTTTCTTTCATGCCACGACACCATGTCATACACTGACCTCCTCTCCGCTTTTTCCAACCAGTCCCTACGTCGGCAAATAATGCACGACGTGGAAGTCTCTGGGACGACATTCGTAAAACATGTCCAAGCCACCGAAGTCGGTGTTTCAAGATAGTGACACCAATTGAATTATCGTCTCTGCGCCCGAACACACGATGCCGAACATCTGCATTACTAACATGGTGTTGCCACTGAATGTCAGCAATCCTTCGGAGACAACAATGATCGAACACAGAGAGTTGTCTAACATCCTCAACTCGGAGAGGCCAGGTTTCACAAGCATAGAGCAAAACTGCTCTCACCGACGCGTTCTAGATCCGACCTTTTACAGCCAGACTAACATCACGAAGGCGCCAAAGATGTCCCAGATTGGCATAAGCAGCTCTGGCTTTTATTATACGTGCATCAATCTCATCACTCACGCCACCACCAGCACTTATATAGCTACCTAGATACACGAACTTCTCAACTACTTCAATCCGCTCACCATCCAGGGTGAGTACAGGATGAGAATCCTGCCAGTCTTGTAGAAGTACTTTGCACTTGGAGGGTGCAAAGCACATGCCGTACCTGCGGACACTGATTGCCAACTGATTAAGTGCTGATTGCATGGCTTGAGCATTATCGCACAGTAAGACAATGTGATCCGCATACTCAAGGTCGAGAAGTCGTTCTCCAGGCAACATATCCACACCGCCATTACTTACATCCATCAGAGCTGTTTCCAGGATGTCGTCGATGGCAAAGTTGAAGAGGAATGGTGAGATCGGGCAACCCTGCCTAACCCCACTGCTCGAATGGAACAAGGGAGAAAGGTGGTTGTATGCCCTCACTCTGCCTGAGGTGTTCGTATACAAGGCCTTTAAGATGTTAATGAACTTCTCAGACACACCCATCTTCAATAGACAATCCCAGAGAACAGTCCTGTCCAACGAATCGAAGGCCGCCCTGATATCAAGAAACACTACGATTGTTGGCCTGCGATAAGTATGACGGTGTTCTAACATTTGGCGGAGGGTGAAGATGTGATCAATGCATCCTCGACCAGAACGAAAACCAGCCTGCTCCTCGCGAGTCAATCGTTCTCGGGTTTTAAACAACCTACGAAGAATGATAGAAGCCAATAGTTTGGACGCAATCGAAAGTAGACTTATTCCCCGATAGTTATTGCAGGAACAACGTGAACCCTTGTTAAAGATAGGGACGACTATTGACTCATTCCATGATGTTGGAACACTTTCTTGCTCCCAAACCTTTCCAAACAACACAGTCAATTCCTTAGTCAGAAAGTCACCACCATCTTTAAAAAGAGCTGGAGGTAAGTCATCTGGGCCCGGTGATTTGTAACGTTTCAAGAGCTGGAGTTCCTTGTGGACTTCCGCCTCGTTTGATGGATCAGTCGTCACCGGCCATGGGGGGCAGGACAAGCTGGTTGATGTTGCCGGAGCAGCAGGCCAGTTGAACTGCCCTTCGAAAAATTCCGCCCATCGTCCAAGACGTCGACAGATGTTAGTGATTGGCATCCCGTCATCCTCGTAGATTGTTTCACTCACACCAGACTTCTTGCTGCCAGTGGCTCAGATGAGTTGGAAGAGCTTCCGGCAGTTACCAGATGCAGCTGTTGCTTCCATCTCATTAGCACGCTCCGACCACCAGGCTTCCCGGTCCTTACGCAAGCTTTGCCCGATTTCATTACGTAACAGCCTTCGTTTGTGGTCATACTCACGGTCACCCGGAGTAGACTGACGGGCTTCCATCAGTTGTAAGGAGCTAGAAGAAACCCAGTGCTTGTAAGCGTGACGTTTCGCGAAGCCGCAAGCGGCTTTACTCACCATTTTCATGGCGTCGTGAAGATGCAACCAATGCTCATCTATACTTTTCGGTGGGGTGGTAGCTAGCCTAGAAGCTAGCTCCGCTCGATACTTACTTGCAACAGAAGTTGCAGCCAGTTTACTAACATCGATCCGTTGGTGGTGGTCAATCCTTCGGCCACTGAAAAGTCAGGTGAGATTGGCGCTGACCAGGGCATGATCAGACTCCAGATAGGTACTCCAAAAGGAGCGGTAGTCTTGTACACAACCACGCCAGCGGTAGCTGATCGCGATGTGATCAATCTGAGTCCAGGCTTGGGATGCAGAGGGAGGACGCCAGGTGGCACACCGGCGATGATTGTGCCGGAAGTTAGTGCTGGCCAGTAACAGGTTGTGGTCTGTGCACAGTTGCAGCAAACGGTCCCCGTTATCTGTCCTGCGACCAACAAGTCCCCATCGGCCACCTAGACGACTCTCTTCTGTGCCTAGACGCCCGACCTGTGCATTCAAGTCTCCGGCTAGTACTACAATATCTGTCGAACGCGCTTTCTGGAGAAGAACTGTTAACTGATGGTAAAACTCATCCTTGATTGCATCCGGGGTGCAATCTGTCGGGGCATAGGCGGAGATGACGAAAAGACACCGTTTCTCACGCCGATTTCTTCTCACTTTGATGGAACTTTCTAATCTATCAGCACATAACCGACTGTTAATGGGGATCCAATCGATTAGTGCTGCCTCAGCCCTAGCGCTTAGTGCGACACCAACGCCTGCAAGACCAGACGAAGATGACACAGGGTCCCCGGATAAGCGCACGTGGAACAAGCTTTTCGAGGTGACAGATGGAGAGCGGATTTGTAGTACTTCACTAGAGTCTTGAATACGGGTCTCGGATAGACAACAAACATCAACATTAAGACCTTCCAAAGACAGCCAGCCCTATCTGTTGTCTGATCTGCATTAGTGTGCGAACGTTGAAGGAAGCCAGCTTGAACGGCGTACGTGGTTTCAGAAAGACTGCCTCAGTATTCATAATCGGTGGAAGCATTCACTTTCAACCAGACAGTGACTGGAGATCGTTTAGATAGGACAGAGTTTCCACCATGGGCGAGCTGCTGCATAAGTTGAAAAGTAAGGTTACACAAATTGGGGATAAAAGGGGGTGAGTTAGCGATATGGTAAATAATAATAATAATAATAATAATAATAATAATAATAATAATAATAATAATAATAATAATGTAAATTGTCTTGCTTCTAGTATGAGCAGGAATAGTATCGTCAATAAAATTCATCATTTCATTTATTTGTGTGTGGGCTGTGATACTGCCCGGGTGCCCAAACCGAAGCAGGTGGTTTTCTTAGGGGGCCACACCCTGAGCCTTTGACTAAAAGGTCTGATCCACAAGGCAGTGGAGCATCGTGAGGAGATGGAGTCTCATTGTAGCCGGTGATCAACAATCGATTCGTCCGCCATTTGTTCCATCAGGATGCTGGAGCCCATGTGCACCATTGGTTTGGAATCAGGGTTTTCCAACCCCCCTAGATGAACCCTCCGTGTCCACCAACCCGGTTAAAGCGCCGGACATTCGCTTTTCGTCCTCTCACTTTCGTAAACAACACCCCCGCCACGAGAAGGCAGTGAGTAGGACTTCCCTGGTAGAGGTTATATATTCGCTGGCCATATGAGAGCATTTCGAGAGGGAGAGTAGACTCTCCCCACTTTCGGCCGTACCAGGGCATTTTGGGGCCTGTATTCGAATCTTGCGAGTCAGGATCGTGAATGCGCACTGCTGAGGAGTTCGATAAGAGGACGAAACGGCCATCCAGTGCTTTCAGGTTTTCCATAGTGGTCTAGCTTCGATTGACTCATGATTTCAACTATGAAAATAATTTATCTATACAAAGGTTAAAATCAATCGTGTAGATGGATGGAATGTTAAATGGGAACAAAAAGTAAGTGAGCACAAATGTCAACTTGTTGATTTTATTGATTTTTGTATAAATTCTCATTAGCTTTGAATATGTTTGGTACTCATTAATTATATATATACCTTCGTGCTCTCCCTCCTTCCCCCCCCCCAAAAAAATAGGTACCATTTGCACCATCTGGATTTAAAGTTCGCTTCTTAAAAGTATTTGAATCTAAATTAAATTATTCAGATCATGATGTAGTGAAATGGGTTCGTTATATTGGTAAAAGTGGTTTATATGAAACAAGATGTTAAAAAGACAATCTTCATTTCAACAAATCAACTTCTTTGTTTAAATGAATGATTATATAACTGGTTTGTTTTATTCAAAATTTGCGACCAATTCAATCATATTTGTGTATTACCGACACACATACAAACACAAAATCTGGCATAATAACCAACTATGCATAGTGTTCATTCAATCCAAATCTTCATCTCTCTTTCTTCTTTTTTGTTCATCTCATGAAGATCTTCAATTGTTTAATCACCCTTAAATTTGTTTACTACACATATGGGTAAACGTATAGTTGTATGTTCATCATTCATTATAATAATAATGATAGGTCTACAATTACGTAAAAGGAATAATGAATAAAGAATTTATTTGTGCATTTCTATGTTCGATTCCCGTGTTTATTATAATTCAGTAATCCATTGAATTAACAACTGGATCTTTGTGTTAATGTTGTATGGCAAGTCGAACTGATGTACTTACGTACGTACAAAGTTCTACGTTGTGTCTGACTGACTGACTGATTCTTTCAACAACAACAGAATGTGTTCTGGTGTACTTGTTTTTCTTTCCCCCTTTCTAAAATCAATTATTCTATTCTAATCATTCCATCTATTTATGATTTATGCTTTGTACCATTTCATTCCTATATATTGTTTATAAGGTCTTTATAAAACTTACCTATCTCTGTCCTCTATTGTTTCACTTTGTATTTTCTATTTTAAGAATTACTACTACTCATACTACTACCACTATTCCTCCTCCTCCTCCTCCTCCTCCTCCTACTACTACTACTACTACTACTACTACTACTACTACTACTACTACTACTCATACTACTTATAATCCATTAGAAATCTTAAGTAATATGTATTTACATTTTGTTTTCACTCTTATGATTTTTATTGTTTGTTTTTTTGTTAACAACACTCTCTCTCTATTCTCTTTATCTAATTATATTTAGCATTTTATTAGTTATCTCATCATATATATACTACTAATTAACCAAAAATAAATTAACAGTAATATCTTATTACTATTATGATTGTTATTTCATTTTGTATGCTAGTGATTTAATTTAATTTGATTTTAATGTGTTACAGTAACCTTTTTTAAACTCGATCTTATAGATATGAAGTATGTAGTAGGTTGAACAGAAGCTTTAAATACGGTTTTTCTACTGATTAGTACTCGTCGACAATGTTATGTGAAACGTGTGAACTGGTGTCACTTGTTGACACTTTTAGGTCACAAGTTTAAGTCTTGCATCTTTTATTTCAGTTTGGGAAGTTGAGTAATGTCACTAACCCCCTCCCCGCACGCACATGTGAATTGCGACTCATAGGAAAGTACGCGAATCTGTACTTGATGAGGTAGTTAAATCACAATTAGAAATGTTATGATTGATCTATTCAGGTTGGCAATAACTCTAAACGTTCTTCCAACGCCCTGCTTTCGGTTTAATGAAACTTTTCACTTTGACAACCGCGACATCACGTGTCACTACACACTACTTATAAACATCCTTATGAGTAGCGTCCGCCACAGTACTACGGAAACTCGCAATATCGTGTGTTGATTAAAATTTTATGGTTAGCTTGGAGATTCATGACCAGTTAGATTGATAAAATATTTTCATTTCTTTCTGTAATTTAATAATAGTTTAGTGCATTTAAAATCAGTTTCAAACACGGAAAATCGATCACAAACAACATGAACACGTTTTTCATTTGGTATAAAGTATATACTTTATCATCAGTATCTATACAACATAAACTATATGGATGATAAATTATTCGAAGTAACTGTAATACTCATTGAAATGATAAATAATTATGATCAGAATGAAGGTTTGAGGAAATTGGGTAATTAGATTGTTGAATTCATGAGTTCATTTAATCTAGACCACGATGAAAAACCTAGAAGCACTAGATGGCCGTTTGCGCCTAGAATAGGTGTACTAAGCAGCACACACACACGATACCGCACGTGAGACTCGAACCAAAAACCTTCAGTTTCGCGGGCGAACGCCTAACCTCTTTACCACTGAGATGTCATCCAACTGTGTTATTATCTAACTTCGATCGATCCGTGAATGGTTGCACAACCACTCATTCATTTTCTAATGAAGCTACCTGTCTCAACCCGACACAGGTTCGACTGCTGAGGAGTCCCATGTGAAGACGAAACTTTCGTCTAGTCCTTCTAGGTTTTGAATGGCGATCATCTTACATTGACTCAATAATTCAACTATTGAAATTACTACGATTTTCACAAACTCTCCTTCGGCTAATTGTTAGTTTAAATCCAAAGGTATGCATTTATAATTTAACTGAAATCATAAGTCCTATTACTCCCAAGCTTAGATTTTTGATTTAAATCATCTACATAGTAAAAATGAGTTGTCTATCCTCAGTAAGTCAGCTACAAGGTAGGACTAGCCAAAAATATGCATCGATCCAAGTTGCCATACCTCATTAGAACAACAAGATCAACACCGAATTCATAAAGGTAGTTAATTTAGTAGTGGTAATATATAAAAGAAAGATTGCATATAATGATATAGTGCAGGAAGAAAGACAAACATGGAGCAATTTTAATCTCACGGTTTAAGGGAAGACAAAGAGTGCATACACCTACGCCATTATCATCGATTATTAGCCATGTCACATAAAGTTCTCAACCATTGTTTACGACAGTCCTGAGGACCCCAATCAAGTAGTCTGCATCCATCAACATGGTTAGATTAGAAGTTAGTGACTATATGGACTGACTCCATGTTTTGGTTCAATATTCGGTTGAATTACCAACTGTAGCTAAATTATCCGTCCTACTCTTCGTCGACATTATAATTTGCAGATCCAAATACAGCATGTCAGATAGAATATTATTACAGGATGATCTCAACATATTGGTGGCATGGATGGACGGGTGGTCACTGGAAGTGAATCTTAACAAAAGTGTGGTTGTGCAATAAAACAACTATGATGATTTCATTACGACACAATAAATGGATTCGTGTTGCCCAAGGTAAGAATCTATTAAGTTTTGGGGGTCATATTAAGGGATGATCTCAAAACAACCAGCCAATGTAAAGTTGCTGCTGCAAAATACTATAAGGTATTATGGTCTCTTCGTAGGTTAGTTTATTATACCCGACTTTCGTGCGACCACATTTCGAATATAGGATTCAGGCAGCGAGTCCTCGTGTTAAATATTAGGCGGGTATGCTGGATCCAGTCCATCGCCGAAGGACTAAATTTGTGAAAGGTCTTTCTGACCTAACTTATGAAGACAAGCTGAGGGACCTAAACTTATTTCTGTTATCTTGCCATAGATAACGGGGTGATTTAACACTGGCTTATCGTATCCTGAAAGTTGACCTTGGTATTAATATATCTTATCTTTTGCTTCCGTCATTTGAGAGGACATTCGATGAAAGTCCAAAAACCGAGATCAAACTGGTTATGGATGTAGTTTCCTTTTTCTCAATGAGTGGTAGACTACTGTAATTCTCTGCCAGTAAACGTATTATCAGCACCTTCTGTTGATATATTCAAAACGAGATTGAGCTAGTTGATGGCATCCTAAGAAAATTAGTACAAATATGTAGTAAATCTCTGTATAAACAAATGCCAGTATTTCAGTTTCGCGCGCTATTTAAAAAGGACAGTGGTATTTTTCCTCGTTGAGTAAATTCTATTGTTTTGATCGTTATTAACGTATCAAGACTACTGTTTTTATACTTTGATTGAATTTCTTTCAGTTAAAAAATTCTATTAGAGTATCATATTTGGTATCCTAAATAGTTTTATCCTCCGTACTCCAGAGTACCTTTGTTTTTCTATTGTGTCTGTTAGTACTTTGGTCCTAACTATTTATAGTTTTTTTTTCTACTTGTAGTCAACACTCACTTTCGCATCCTAAAATGACTGGAAGATGCAACAAAAGCATTTGCCACCGCCCAGGAATTCGATATCCTGTTGATAGCGGCATGCAGTGCGATGAGTGCAAAGGTTGGTACCACGACGTTTGCTCGAATCTAACACCTGCAGCTTTCAAGCGGTTCAGTAAAAATGGGTGCGTATGGCTATGTCAACAGTGCTGTTTGGATGCAAATAGCCTGTTAACCGAGGCCATTTCAATAGTAAATGCCGCAAAAAAGTGTCTCGGCAAGCGCGGTCGGGATACATCAGTCAGAACTCAATCTGTCGACACGCAGATTGACACAAGGCAGGCCCAAGTGAGTCCAAAAACTGCCGACCCACACTCTACTAAGGAGGAAGAACATCCTCCAAAGAGGACTGTTGCAACCAGAAACTCGCGCAAAAAAGTCTCTTCTGTCCCTCGTATCACAAATGGTACCCAGAAGGGAACTTCCGGAAGCCCAAACCGCAAGGCTCGGTCGGTTTCCAGCGCGAAAGATGACCCAATCTCCCAGGTCGTCCTGAATCAGATTAGACGCTGGCGAAAAAGACCTGAAAATTGTAAATTTTCGGGTTGTGAGGCTTCGACAGAGGATGATGCCGAAGCCACTCTGGGTGAAGCACGAGGCCACCTAAATGGGCTTCGGATCTGTTATACGAACGCCCGGAGCTTACTAAATAAGCTACCGGAACTAGGTGTACAGATTGACTCAACTAGGCCAGACATAATCGCAGTCACAGAAACATGGCTGACGCCGTCTATAGATAGTAGGGAACTTGATTTCGAGGGTTTTACATTAGTAAGGGCAGATAGAATACAAGCGCGTAAAGGAGGGGGAGTAGCTCTATTCATTAAGAATGCTATTCCATTCACCATTATCGACAGTGTATCCCATGAGAGTGGGACGTACGAATTAGTTTGCTGCCGCCTGAAATGCAAGGAACAAGAGTTGCTACTTAGTTTGATCTATCGCAGTCCAAGCTGTGAGGCGAACGAGGTCCTGCTAAGCAGTCTCAACACTTTATCACGAAGTGATCGATGTCTAATCCCAGGGGACTTTAATGCACCCATGGTGGACTGGGGAAATCTGCGGACTGAATCGTCAGCAAACTCCTTCGAACAGGAACTAGTTGATGCGGTAATCACATGTGCCCTAGTGCAACACGTGAAGGAAGCAACTAGGTACGACCCGGGTTCTGCATCATCCTTACTAGATCATATATTGACTCACTATGAGGATGATGTTGCAAACCTGGATTACATGCCACCCCCAGGCAAAAGTGATCATGCAGTTTTAAGCTTTGACTTCCATATAACTGTCGATCACGAGTACGCTTCAGCTCAATCCAGACCTAACGTCTGGAAAGCAAACATACCAGACATCATGAAATCAGCATCATTAGTAGGTTGGAAATTAGATCCAGAGTCATCAATCGAAACGGCTTGGGACGTATTCCGGAATTTATATTTCAAAGTTACCGCCCCCCACATCCCTTGGACTACACCTAAGAGACTGAGAAACTCCCCACCGTGGTTCAGTAGAGAGGTTCGCATCCTTCTCCGTAAAAGAAGGAAAATGTGGGACAGATTTAGGTTACTGGGGACTGACGAGGCAAAATATCAGTATCAAAAGGCTCGAAATACCTGTGCCTCAACCCTCCGTACGGCCAGAAAGCTGTACGAAGAGAGAATCGTTAGGGAATCCATAGAATGCCCTAAACGCCTGTATTCGTATATAAACCAAAGGACAAAAAGAAGAAGAAATGTTCCTTCATTATGGGGAGACAGTACTGCCACATCACTAGTGGAGGACGACTTTGGCAAAGCTCAAGTATTCTCTAAATACTTTAGCGATGTATACACCATAGAAACAACCTTCTCACCAGTCCATGAAAATCCCCCCACACAAGCACTGGACAGCGTAACCATTAAAGAACTCGATGTATTTGGTCTGCTAGTTAAGCTTGACATAGGTAAACCCACTGGACCCGATGAACTGCATCCTAGGTTACTAAATAAATTAGCTAACTTTGTTGCGAACCCTTTAAGTGTATGTTTTAATCTATCCGTAACCCAGGGTCGTCTATCAAAAGACTGGAAGAACGCCATAGTAAGTCCAGTCTTTAAAACAGGTACAAAACATAAGCCTGAGAATTACCGACCCATTAGCCTAACTAGTGTGGTTGTTAAAATCTTAGAAAAGATTATTCGGAAGGAACTGTTAAAGTATCTCGATGAAAACCGGATCCTCTCCGAAAAGTAGCATGGTTTTAGAACAGGTTACTCTTGTCTCACAAACTAATTATTCGCTCGTGAAAGCTGGTGCGCTCTTAAGGACCAAAAATTACCTATAGACGTAGCTTACATCGATTTCAACAAAGCTTTCGACAAAGTTCCGCATAACCGGCTGTTATATAAGCTAAGGAATGTCGGGATTGGAGGCAATCTATTGATGTGGATAAAAGACTTCCTAGTTGGGCGTCAACAAAGAGTAAGGGTGAACTCCAAGTTGTCTAGCTGGGAAACTGTACTTAGTGGAGTTCCCCAGGGTACAGTTTTGGGGCCAGTGTTATTCCTCCTGTACGTAAATGATCTCCCTTGTCTACTATCGTCATCGGTCTTACTCTTTGCTGATGATGTCAAGATATGGAGAGCGATACAAAGCAAGGGCGATAGCTTAGAACTTCAAAATGACCTGGAGAGATTATCTGAATGGTCCCAAACCTGGCAATTGCCGATAAACACTTCCAAGTGTATTGTCATGCATATTGGCCACCAGGGTACAGATACATACACGATGAATAACACTGAGTTACCTATTGTTCAGGCACACAATGACTTAGGCGTCATCGTCAGTCAAGACTTAAAGACTACTGCACACTGCCGTGCAATAGCCGCCAAAGGTTTTAGGACTTTATGGTCCATACGCAGGGCTTTTAGGCATCTTGACGCTAAAACGTTTCTGACTTTGTATACAGTGTTCGTACACCCTAAACTTGAGTACTGTATACAAGCAGCTAACCCCTGCCTAAAAAAGACAGTGAACTCTTGGAAAGGGTTCAGAGAACAGCAACTAGGCTGATTCCCGGAATAGCGAAGCTCCCGTATGGTACTAGACTGACCAAGCTAAACCTATTCCCTCTGTCATATAGAAGAATCAGCGGTGACTTCATTATAGTTTTCAAATTGCTTAATGATAAATTTGCACCTGATATGCCCTCATTTTTCTTGTCTTCCATAACAGAAAATCTACGGGGACACTCCAAAAAAGTTCACAAGCCCAGAACGAATTACTTGTCAGCTGACTACCGACTTTCCCATCGAATAATCAACGAGTGGAATTCATTACCTCAGCACGTGGTTGAGGCTCCATCCGTCGACTCCTTCAAAAGAAAGTTGGATCAGCTGAGAGACCATCACTGCCAGGACTAACACAGGCCATCAAGCCTCCTGTCCTTTCCAAACTGAAACTGAAAGTGAAACTGAACCTCTTTGGTGTTGCAAACCACAAGGATTAATATAGGACAATAGACCTACTTACCTTATTACTGAAAACTGAAGTAAGAAATATTTCTACTTTTATCAACGAACACTCTTAGCCCTCTACTTGGAAGCATCGGTGATTCCTGTTACTGGATACGGAAGCGAGTTGAACGCAAACTTTTATTCTGTCCACAACCATTCGAACCATTTTGGCCTACTGACCTTGACGGCTAATTTAGTGGGTGCGTTACATAACATGTCTTATGATATAGATGACTCACTCTACAGGTTAGGTCTCCCGTAAGATGATATTTCTTTTACAGCCGTCAAAGATGCGTTCTGGGGGAAAATGCGATGAAAAGAATGTGTAAATCTAAGGTGTTTTTACATGGATTGGGAGGTGTCGGCATAGAAATCGGTATATTATCTTATTAGTAATTGTATCGCAAACAGCTAAAAATCTGATTCTGGCTGGAGTCGGCGAACTTATAATTCAGGACCAATCGTTATGCTCCGAACAGGATTTGGGGACTCAATTTTACGTGGATGATTGTAGTGTTAAATGTTCAAAAACTAGGTAAACATTGTGACTGATAGTTTTAATTTTCCTTGGTTTTATTTGTTTTCGAGAAAAATAACGGTGAAACTCATGGCACTTGAATGCACCAACATATGGCATTCTTGAACTTAGTGGCCTAATTCTTTCGATAACGATTGAAAAAGCACTTATTGTGAATTGTGGCGGACCAAAATACTAAGTCAGAAATGTCAATAACGTTATTAAGTCCAAAAGGTAATATAATAATTTACAAGTTATCAATTATTAGCACAACTTAAGGTCAAGGGACGTTACTTAAATCTGCTGGCTGGTGTAAGTTCTGTTGAGTTTGGTACCAGAATCCACAATTATAGATAATTAATAATCCCAATGAGGCTGATATGGCTCTAGTAGTATAACCGAGCGTAGAATGTAATGGGAATGTTACAACAGTCTATAAATATAGATTATAGTTAATTAACAATTGTGGATTCTGGTACCAAACTCAATAGAACACGCACCAGCCAACAGATTTAAGTAACATCCCTTGACGTTTATTTGTGTTCATAATTTATAAGTTGTAAATTACTTTATCAACTTTTGGACGCAATAAATTTATTGCCATTGCTGAGTTAGTATTTATTTTGGTCCACCACATGTGTATTAATTCGTATGTGGGTCTACAAGATAACATTATGGAATAACATTCCAGAAGCCATATGCTTATAACAAGTTCTTATAAAACTTTGTGATAAGCCTGACTGTCATGCATACACCTCTAGTAAAATAAATAACTTGACAGTTACCTTCTAAAGAGTTATAAAAGAACAAGTCCACATTGTTTCTCACGAAATGCAGTTTCTACAGGGTTGAGTGAAAACGCCGTTTTTGCGTTCATACCTCAGTCAACATATTTTCGGAATCAATATTAGTTGTTAAGCCGAGTGCATAATCAAACTCTGGGTTCAAATCACAAAATAGAGTGAACGCAAAAGGCGAGCAAATGTCTTTAATTAGTTCGGTTAAACGCAGAATTCGAGAAAAAGAAGTGGCAAGTAAACTCTTGACCTCCATTTTTTGATTTTCCTCATTCAAAGTGAACTATATGCCAGCTAAAGTATACAAATAGACTAGTTCTTTGAGCTTTAATTTTAATGCTTTATTTACTGTGAAAGTTTTATAGTTTGACACTAATAAGACCTAATGAGACGGTGTCTCGGTTTCTAAGGCGTTCGGTTCATCCACTAAGCCGCAAGTTCAAAGCTCGCTCCACTTATTTTGGTTAAGGCAATCAAATAGTATCATGAACCCTTACACATATAGTGTGGTTCGAAGTCTGCACCTGGTTAATTACAAACAAGTGGCTACTAATGTTTATCATTTTATTTGTCTCATTATGTTAAATATTTGACTTGATAGTAGATTTGAAGTCTGCTTCACTGACCAGTGTTGCTTTCTCTTATTTCTGCTTATTTTTTTCAAACGTTCAGAGCTGAAGCAAGTCTTGATCGTCTAACAGCTTTAAATCCCTATGTTCGTATCACTTTAAAAATGGGAAATGTGGCGGATATTCGTTGCCCTCTTTCTGATCCTGCTAATAAGACTATCCTAAAGCCATTAGTTGACAAAGGATCATCTACGAAGGTCGATGTAAGATTTTTGGTTTTATTTTTTCCACATAAAAGACAGTAAAATTGGTTACGAAAAATCCTTTTTTCATGCTTTACTATTTTATGGTGGTATTGAGTACACATTCCTATTGTCAAGATTAATTTGTACTCCATCAGTCACCTTGAAAAACGTATCGTTTAAATCACTGAGGCCGAATTTAAGAAGTTCCGAACTCGGACAGAATAGCTAATTTACGTCTAGTTTTTAATGCTACCTTAGCTGGTGTCAGTTTTTGATTTGTGTGACATATTTTGTGCTTTCCGTACCAACAGTTATGTGTTTCAAATGAATTAAGAAGCTTATTCATTGTTTATATAATTTAAATTAACTGTAAATTTGCTACTAAAATAATCAGTTTCACCGATTTCTTTCCTAGTGTTTGGTACTCACGCAATGTTCGCTTCAACAAGCTACATTATTGGATCTATTCTGCAGAGCACATGATATTAAAGTGAGTTAACTGTTATTCAGTATTGTTAAAAATTAAACGCTTATTCCGTAGTTACCAATAACTTTATTGCTTGTCATTGTATTTTAACACCATCTACAAAGAGTGTTAAGTCGTAATGATGGGGTACAAGCAATCGCTCTTCAGTATTCCCTAGTCACTCTTCTAGGTTGATATGGCTTCCAATGCTAATAGTCTCTGATTCATGCTCCTCTAAAAATATCCTTCCAAACTCAAGGTGTAGTCAGTCAATAAGGGTCGATTGGCTGCATACGGTAACAAAACTTGAGTTAATCTTGTGCATACACGATCGTCTGTGCCTCACTAGATTCAAAGAAACTGGAACTAACAAACCTCCTACAGGTTGACTCAGAGATGGAAATATGAACAGTGATAGGTAACAATAAACTCGATGATAATCAAATATTAATTAATTTTCAGACGAGGTGACTTAAATAGTGAGAGGATCACTTAGAGGAACAGTTCAAATGGCATCTAGCTACTCCAATTACGTTTTACTTATCAACAACGTAAATGGGAGGTTGACATCACACCCATACTTTTCAGCGTACTTGAAATAGTCACAATTGAGAGGCGATAGCTTTTTTAAAGGTATTCAAAGATGTTGGTCCAGTTGTAGCATTTAGGTTGATTGAAATTTTAACCAGAGTTTGATAGCTAGATTTGATTTTATCAGACTGGCGACGCTCGCTGATTGCTATATCTTTACCATAGTCACTTAGTTTATTTTATTATATTGGAAGGTAAGCTTTTCATCGTTATAATCTAAACCTGAATTGTTTACGACCAATTTCACTCTAAAAGTTGCTCCTAATTATCTTCAATTCTGCTTTGTTTTCTTTCCCAGTTTATCTATACAGATATATATGGTGCATTTGGAAATTTGTTTTGTGATTTTGGCTCTGATTTTACTGTTTTAACACAGGATGATGAAACCTGTAGAGAATTTTTTATTGGAAAAATTGAAAAGGTACTTGTGTAACAATAAAAGTGTAGATGTTAGCATAAATATGCATTATTCTAGGTATTTATATTTTTTGTGTGGTATAAATTACTCATTTTCAGTAATACATTCCTTTTCTTGTGTTTCAAGAATTGAAAATGATTCGTGCTCATGAATATTTCAGTGCCCTCAAATGCCCTGGTATGGCCGAGAGTGAGGAGAGTCCGCTCTCCCTCTCCGAATGCTCCCACATGACCATGCGAATATATAGCCTCTCCCAGGGAAGTCCTACTCCCTGCCTTCTCGTGGCAGTACCGTTGTTTACGAAATTGAGAGGACAAAAAGCGAATGTCCAGAGCTTTAACCGGGTTGGTTTACACGGAAGGTTCACCTAGGGGAGTTGGAAAACCCTGATTCCAAACCAATGGTGCACATGGGATCCAATATCCTGAGGGAACAAATGGCATACGAATCGATTGTTGATCACCGGCTACAATGGGACTGCATCTCCTCACGATGCTCCACTGCCTTGTGGATCAGATATTTAGGTCAAAGGCTCGGGGTGTGGCCCCCTAAGGAAACCACCTGATTCAGTTTGGGCACCCGGGCGGTATCATAGCACACACAGAAATCAAGTGATTTGTGTGGCGCATGTGTATTCAGTGCCCCCCTTGTACCAATATTTAAGTGTTCAAATATATAAATAAATAGTGACTTACTCATTCACGTAAAGTACAATAAAAATTTTCTTTAGCACTTTACCTGTTGAAACCTAATTAGAAACAATGACAAAGCTTAAAAAGCTGTTCGTTTACTTACTATAGAAAGTGTGTTTAATTAACTGACTAATCTTATTTTATTCAATTCTAGTTCTATTGAATATCCGCTTCAAAATATGTTCCAGAGTTTAATAGTTGCACGTTCGAAAGACATACCAATGTTATTGAAGTTCATAAAAGCCATAGTTAAACAGTATGGTTTCTCGTTGAAATCAGTTCTCTTCAGTAACATGAACAGAAACGAGCTCGAAGACGGTGAAGATTTAAAGATTTTAAGCTTACCAAATATCTTGCAAATACATATTTTCATTATTATTCTTAACTACTTAATACTAAAGTTAGTAACAGAAATGAACGAACCAAAACGAAAAGGAATGGGTTTCGTCATTTTGTACGGTAAATTGTAAATATTAAAGCCAACGAACTCGTCGAACAACTAAAAGGCCCTGAACTCCAATTTTCTTCAAGGACCAAGGGTTTACAGTTTTTGACAATTCAGAACTAGTATAAAATAACTGCTCAGTGCTTCTTGCTTTTCACTGGTTTCCTATCTGACGTCATCTGTAATTCACACTTTCTTCAGATTGAACTAATCTCCGAAATTCACTCAAGTAAACATAGATATATGTTCATTATATTCTTATTATTTAGATAAACGATGAAGAATTATTGATCACAGTTCTTGGCAACCATCGTCATCACCTAGAAAATAATGATGTAATTCGATTCACTGAACTTAAAAATGTGCCAATGCTCAATGAAAGAGAATTTCTTATCCGAGGTATGTAGCGTTCTGAGATTTTTCATTACGTTTTATCATTAAATGCTAATTAAGAATATATTGTTTGGTATTCTGAAGATTCTAGTTCCATCTTTTAATAAAGGAAGCTAATCAACCACTTGACATTTCGTCATTTATTTATTTAAACACATACATATTGGTACAAAGGGCACCAGATACATATGCGCCACACAAAATAATGAGAGTGGGAGGAGAAAGGGGGAAGATGCGTATATACAAAAGAAGAAAAAAGGGATGAAAAAAAGAGTAATGTTTGGGGGGAAATGAAATGTACAACCAGAAGAACTCTCTCAGTTAAGAAAGTTATAACCACTCTTTATGAAGAAAGTAAAGGTTACAGCAGGCTCGCCACTGTCTTCTATTCTGAGCCATATCTGATAACGTCTCTAGCCACTGTGTTGCACCATTTCTCGGACCCCAGCCAGGGAGTCGTGAAGGACCAACAGAAGCTAGCCCTTTGCAGCTTTCTTTCATACCACGACACCATGTTATACACTGACCACCTCTCCGCTTTTTCCAACCAGTCCCAGGGTCGGCAAATAATGCACGACGTGGAAGTCTCTGGGACGACATTCGTAAAACATGTCCAAGCCACCGAAGTCGGTGTTTCAAGATGGTGACACCAATTGAATTATCGTCTCTGCGCCCGAACACACGATGCCGAACATCTGCATTACTAACATGGTGTTGCCACTGAATGTCAGCAATCCTTCGGAGACAACGATGATCGAACACAGAGAGTCGTCTAACATCCTCAACTCGGAGAGGCCAGGTTTCACAAGCATAGAGCAAAACTGCTCTCACCGACGCGTTGTAGATCCGACCTTTTACAGCCAGACTAACATCACGAAGGCGCCAAAGATGTCCCAGATTGGCATAAGCCGCTCTGGCTTTTATTATACGTGCACCGATTTCATCACCACATGTTTCTAAATGGTTATCTATCATAGATAATTACTTTTAATTCCTCTCCTGTTTTTTTGTTCTCCATTCATTATAGTAAAGTCGCCTTCAGAGTTGATTATCACAATGTCTATAAAAGATATCCAGTTTCCCTATTCAGATGGTGGTGTTGTGCTCCAAGTTAAAAAGCCACAAGTACACACTTTTGTAGGTTAATTTATCTTAGCCTTATCTATTTTTTATTGTTGAAATATTATACCACTTATTATGTTAAAGCGCATAGGAAAGTTCACCATCTCACTCAAACAGCCATTTTGTGGTTGTATGTTTTTACCTTTTCTCATGCGAACTTCCTTTGAACATCAGCTACCATGAAGATCCTGACATTACTCCAATATCTTACAAATTGAATCTTTAGACCAAAGTTTCCAAAGCGTTCTCATCATTATCTTTCTTCCGGTCACCCTGATGTTATCATAACCATAACATCAACCATGAAAATTAAGATTGTAGCATATTTTTCAGTGCTCTATTTATTGGGGTGGATGTTAAATTCTCAACTTTCCAGGTAGAAATCAATTGTAAGATCATACATTATGTTAAGGTTATCTTTGTTCGATTGACTCCCAGTGCCCTTTCACTCGTATTAAACAATTCATTATAGTTTTTACGAATACCGTAGTACGACCGAAGGTGGGGAGAGTCCACTCTCCCTTTCGAAATGCTCTCTTATGGCCAGGGAAATTTTCCTTACTGCCTTCTTAAGGTGAAGTTGTTGTTTAAGGAATTTAAAGGAAGAAAAGCAAATGTTCAGCTCTTAAATCGGAAATTCAACCTAAGTGAGCTGGAAAACCCTGATTCCAAACCAATGGTTACATGGGCTCCAGGATCTTGAGAGAACAAATGGCTTATGAACTCATTGTTGTTCACAGGTTACCATAGGATCTCATCTCCCAACATTGCCCCACTGTCTTGTGCATTAGACCTGTAGGTCAAGGGCTCGGGTTGTGGCCTCTTAGGAGAACTACCTGTTTTGGTTTGGGGACCCAGACAGTATCCGAGCCCACACACAAAAATTGAATGATAACTAATTTGTGTGGCACATATACATTTCGGTGCCCTTTTTTTGTAAGAATGTTTATGTATTTAGTTGAAGTAAAATAAATGTGTACCGCATAAAAGTATCTTATCACTGAACCAAATAACACACTCGCTAGTTAATCTTTGCGATTGTATGATTTGTAAAAAAAGAATCTATTCTACTGACCAGTTGCATAACATGTTTACTGAATAGGTTTACATACACTTGACTACTATCACCCGACTGCCTAAACTGTGGTAGGTGAGGTCAGGTTTCAAACCTTCAGACAAATAAATGAGACTTTATTTATTTATTTATTTAAACACATAAATATTGGTAAAAGGGGGCATCAAATATATATTCGCCGGTGACCAACGACTGATTCATACGCCATTTGTTCCCTCAGGATACTGGAGCCCATGTGCACCATTGGTTTGGAATCAGGGTTTTCCAACTCCCCTAGATGGACTTTCCGTGTCCACCAACCCGGTTAAAGCGAAGGACATTCGCCTTTCGTCCTCTCAATTTCGTAAACAACAGTAATGTCACGAGAAGGCAATGAATAGGACTTCCGTGGAGGAGGCTATATACGCGTGGCCATGTGAGAGCATTTCGAGAGGGAGGTTGGCCCCTCCCCACTCTCAGCCGTACCAGAGCATTTAGGGGCTATGAGACTTAAACTCTACAGTTGTTAAACAATTAAATATCTGTTTACCGTTTATCATTTTATTTCAGTTTGGCTAATCTTTCTTTAAAAAAATTTGTTTAGGAAACTATGCTCGAACAAATCAAATATCCTAAATTAATGTGTGTGGACTTTAGTGAACCCGAGGTTAGTTGAAAAAAACTACCAGAAGTTATTTTCTCATTTCTTTCTTACTAAATATTCATCATTATTGTATTAAATTCCATCACCTCAATTATTCGTGTCATTCTGTTGATGGCTTTGAACAATTCGATTCAGTCAAGTAACTTTCATAGTAACAGCGTTTTATGGGAGATGACAAACCAGCTTCGAGCTGTAGAGGAAATTAGGGAAAGACGTTGGAAGTAGATAGAACATACATTGAATAAATTACCCAACTGCATCACCAGGCCATCGCTAACTTGCAATCCGGAAGAGAAGCGGAAAAGAGGAAGGCCAAAAAACACATTACATCGGGATATAGAAGCAGATATGAAAAGGATAAATGTTAACTGTAAAGAACTGGAAAGGATTGCCCAGGACAGAGTTGGATGGAGAATGCTGGTGGATGGCCTATGCTCCTCCACGACGAGGAGTAACAGGCGTAAGGAAGTAACTTTCATGATAATGGTAATAATAGTATTCTGTTTCATGTTCAATATCTTTTTCTAATTAAATCTTATTTCTATTGTTTCCCTTGATTGTTTTTGCTTTGATTAGGAAGGTAACTTGTTACATTTAACATACTTAACATTGATGAGGTTCAATGTCGAAAATGGCCGTTATCCCAAACCATGGTATGTTGAACACCTTCGTTTTTTTTCTTTTTAGGTCAACCTATGCCTATAACTGTTTGTATCCCGTTTGTCGGATAGTTATTTTGTCGTAAACATTCTAAATGAATGCTGTGTCTCTTTGATTCAAGCTGTACTTCATCTACTTTTATTTAAACATCTAAGTAGTATATTTATCTATCGTAAATTAATGTAATTAATGACTCGATTACTTAAACATGTATCATGTAAATTCATTTAGTATTGCACAAGGAAGTGGCTATCAGCACTCAGTGGCCGAGTGTATAACGCGATGGCGTTTGAAGCGAAAGGTACGGGGTTCGAGTCCCAGAGTGAACATCAACTCTGAGATGCAGGTACATCCAACTGACGAGTCCCACGTAGGACGAAACGCGCGTCAAACTGGATTCCACTGCTAGCCACTATCCATCTTTGCTAAATCCCTCTTAGATTATTTCTGTATTTTCAATAATTTTAATGAATTGCTTAATGTTTTTCGAAATGAGAAAGAGTTAGTTCAATATCTGATATCTTTTGATTTAAACCAATGAGTTAAATAACTGAGGAAAAAACCTCAGGTCTTATCTGGATCAACCAGTTGAGAAAAAGCAAAAAGCAAAACAGCGATTGTGTGATCAGTTTGTCAGCTCACACCATCTTGGATGCTTACTTTTGTTTTACTAGAATGACAATTCTACCCTGTTATTTGGCTCAGATTCACTTCTGCTAAATTGCTTATTCTAAACTATACATTACTACTGACCATCGTAATTTTAAGTGGATCCAATCTCCTTATTAGTAAACGTTTGTAATTTCCCGTTGTTGACATCTAGGACTGTAACTGATAATTTTCTGTTGTTGCATACCTATCATAAATGGGTTGCTTCTATTTAGCCTTTAATTAAACTTATGTTTTATTTAGTATGTTGTTTGTGGTGATATTTAGAATGCGCATTTTGTCCTAGTTAAGTTCATTCAGTTGGATGTACTTATATCCCAGTGATAATGTTTGCACTCAATAACGCGTTGGTGTTTGAAGCGAAAAGTACTGTGTTCAATTGTCAGCATAGCGAGACGTGGTATACGTAACACGTGGCCCAACCATCTCAGCCGATGAAGCTTCATGACCTCATCAACTGATTTGCCATCATTCCCTAATAGCCTGTGTCTAACCTCATTATTACTTACCCGGTGATCCCAACAGATGCGAGCAATATTTCTAAGGCATCTGTGGTCAAATACTAGTAAATTACGAGTATCTTCCTTTCTTAATGGCCATGTTTCACAACCGTAAAGTAGAACAGAGCGAACTGCTGCGCAGTATACTCGTCCCTTAATTGGCAAACGGATATCTCGTCTTCGCCACAGGTGACGTAAGTTGGTAAAAGCCAAACGAGCTTTTTGAATCCGTGCAGAGGTTTCGTCAGACATCAACCCATTAGGGCTGATCAGACTTCCAAGTTAAGTGAAGTTGTCGACGCGTTCGACTACTTCACTTCCTATCCCATAATAATACTTATGTGTAAACAACTAATTCCAAAAAGTACCATTTGAAAATTATCAAGTTGATTATTTTATTTAAACATGAAAATGTATAATTCATCTCATCTATTGTGTTTTTTGTTTTTTTCGTCTTACTAAATATACTACTAACAAAATTTTAAAAAAAGGGATGAAAATGATTGGAATTTATTTCGTGATCAGTTATTCACAATACAAAAGTTACAAATGGTAAATGTAAGTAAACAAAACCAGATTGTAGGATTAAATGAATGTTTACACTTTTAAATATAAATAAACAAATCAGGGGGGGGTATTTATTTATTTATTTGAATACATAAATATTAGTACAAACGGTAACTGATTTGTGTGTGGGCTGTGATACTACTCGGGTGCTCAAACCGAAACAGGTGGTTTACTTAATGTGGCTACACTTGGAGCCTTTGACTTGAAGGTCTAACCCACAATGCAGTGGAGCAATGTTAAGAGATGCGGTCACATGGTAGCCGGTACCTAACAATCGTTTTCTACACCATTTGTTCTCTCATGATCCTGGAGCCCACGTGCACCATTGGTTTGGAATAAAGCTTTTCTAAATCCCCTAGACGAACTTTCCGTGTCCACCAACCCGGTTAAAGCTCTGGACATTCCCTTTCCGTTCTCTTGGCTTCGTAAACTACAGTAATGACACGAGAAGGCATTGAGTAGGGCTTCCCTGGCAGTTGCTGTGTACGCTTGGCCATGTGAGAGCATTTCGAGAAGGAAGGCTCCCAAATGCCCTGGTATGGCCGAGAGTGGGAAGAGTCCGCTTTAGAACGAAACAGCCGTCCAGTGCTTCCATGTTTTCTTTGGTGATCTAGCTTCTCGAGATGGTGGAGAAGATTTGTGGCTCAGGTGAGTGATTTTGATGTTGGTTTGTTCTCTGAGCTGGATGGTTTGGTCGTGGAGTTTTCATCGTCCGACATAATCAGCACAAACTTCGGGTAGAAGTTTCAAGGACGACCAAACCATCCAGCTCAGAGAACAAACCAACATAAAAAAAGTGATCTAGCTTCAACTGACTCATGATTTCAACTATGAAAATACTAAATTCTCCACAAAAAACCCTTTCTGATAAAATTAACAATTTTTCAGGAAGTTTTTGATGATAATCTAGTTTTTTTTCTTTTTTTCGATTCTATCGCTTACATATCATTGTAGCCAATTGAAATTAATGAATCACTAGTAAAACGTTTAACTTTTGCTAGTCAAGGACAATTAGCACCATTATGTGCTATTTTTGGTGGAATAGCTGCACAAGAAGCTATGAAAGCGATCACATTTACATTTACACCAATTAATCAATGGGTAAGTTTTACCAGGAACGATGAAAATGAACTATATTATAAGTGTATAATTGAAATTGATGAGTAGTTAGACAATGTCAAATAGTTTATTAAGTACTATACGTGAATAGTGTCGGTGGCCTATGCTCCATTGGGAGTAACAGGCGAAAATGAGTAAGTAAAACGTCAACAGTAATTGATAATTCTCTACTAATTTCAACGTTACGATAAAACCGGTTATATAACCAGCGTAAGGTAGGGCACATGAATGCGCGGCAGTTTGAGTTGCCAAATTAATACGAGATGAGATCGTAGAGATGCAAAACAAAAGAATCGAAATACTAATATCACTAGTATCGGGATAGACAAACAATAGTGATTATAGCTTAAATACTTACTTACTTACGCCTGTTACCCCTCATGGAGGAGAATAGGCCGCACACCAATATTCCCCATCCAACCCTGTCTTGGGCAATCCTTTCCAGTTCTTTACAGTTAACATTCATCCTTTTCATATCTGATTTTATTTCCGGTGTGATGTGTTCTTTGGCCTTCCTCTTTTCCGCTTCTCTTCCGGATTGCAAGTTAGCGATGGCCTGGTGATGCAGTTTGGTGATTTTCCTAATGTATGTTCTATCTACTTCCAACGTCTTTTCCTAATTTCCTCTACAGCTCGAAGCTGGTTTGTCCTCTTCCATAAAACGCTGTTGCTGATAGTATCCGGTCAGTGCATGTTGAGTATTTTGCGTAAACAATTGTTTATAAATACTTGTACCTTCTTGACGATGGATTTAGTAGTTCTCCACGTTTCAGCTCCGTACAGCAGTACTAACTGTCTTGCCGTTCGTATTGAATATTCCTACCTTGAAATTAGTTGACATTTGCTTTGAGTTCCATATGTTCTTCAATTGTAGAAATGCTTAAATAGAAGATATATAATAAGGGTATAATAATATTGAGATCAAGAATAGATAAAGATGGAGATTAAATGCATTTTTTCTAGTGCAGCGATGGTCCATTGTGGTTAAAGCATTTAACTTCTCGCTAATAAGTTATACGTTTGAATTCTATCCCACCTATTTCTTTTTATCCAACCGGTAAGTATCACCAGCCTTCACATTTACTGCATGGTTTAAAGTCAAATACATAAATCTGTAGCAACTAAATTAGTGAACCCTTCATCTGCTCTATATATACTTCGCTACAAACAATGTAAGCCAGAATTGTATCGGTACCAATGCGTTAACTTGATAATTTCATGTAAATTATGCATTAAGTAGATTGTTCATAATGGTAAGACAATAACATATTTCTAATATGCCAGCAAGCAGCATATGATTTCATTGAAATCACGTATCAATCAAAGTTAGATCGCTATCGAAAACCTAAAAGCATTGGACAGTCGTTTTGTCCTGTCTTTGGACTCCCTAGCGGTGAAAATCCACCACCGTGCAAGCGGGAACAAAACCAAATATATTCGGTCTCGCGCGTGAACACTTAACCTGTAGACCGCTCAGCCGGCTTGTGAGCAATCGTTTCGATACAATGATAGGTATACAGGGTTATTAGACACCCTCAGGTTAGAGAGGTCAGATTTTGCCGAAGGAACCGCAATCATGAGTGATGTAAACCCTAGATTTTAGAATCACACTAGTATCTTCGCATCACGTAAAGTGGCTTGCATTAAGTAACATTATTCTTTCCTGCTTTTACTATAAATAAACCAGTTTATCTTGCCATAGCGTTTGATGCTAGGATGTCAAATGCTTTGAGAGAATCCAAAGAAGCGGAGGTTGAAAAACATAAACATAGTCTTTTGAATCCAATTCTATGTTTTGCCGATGAACTGATTCAGCAACAGTAGACTTTGAAACAATTAAATGTCATTGTTTCTTTGTCTTCATCATGATTTAGCTCTACATCCATTGTGCTTCAATTGTACCACTGGAAATCAATACGAAATCAAATGAATTTCAAAAGTGAGTGGTACAAATACCATTGTTTAATGACCTCCTTGCACATTGTTACAATTTACTATGATCAAAAGTGGACAATTCGTTGTATTGTAGTTTAAAACTAAACAACAATTAAGAAACTATTACCATTCACCCAAATCCTTCAATTTCTCATTTGCTCATCCCGTAGAATACTTTTTCTCGAAAGGATTTGAAAAAGAAATTGGGTTAGACGTGGTCTTGATGAACTCCGGCCATGACGTCAAGTTCCAAGAAATAGCTGCTTGAAGTTGATCACACACCGCTTCATTATTAACACCTGGACCCCAATCAGATAGTCTATGTCTACCTAAATTGTATAGTCCAACAGTCAATGATTTCATAGATGGGTCAGATGTCTTAGTTCGATGAGAAATACTAGAAAAGGATAGTTTTAATTATAACAAACCTTGTTATTCTATGAATCTATACAACATATGTATGAAAATTGTCAACAACCTATGAGCTTGTTTTTATAAGATAATTAGCAACGAACATAATTACACGTAATTAAAAACTTCTTTAATAATTTTAATAGTTGAAATCATGAATCAATTGAAGCTAGACCACCATAGAAAACCTGTAAGCACTGGACGACCGTTTCGTCCTATTATGGGACTCCTCAACACTGCGCATCCACGATCTCGCCTCACGATATTCAAACATAGTACCTGTCAATTTCGCGCACGAGAGCGCTTAACCTCTAGATCACTAAGATGGCCGATATCCAACGGTATTAATGTCTAACTTCAACCGATCCACGAAATTGAGCGACACTTCTTTAATAATTACCATAAATCTCGATTAACTAATCAGTAATAAAGTTTATTTATTTATTTAAACACATAAATATTGGTACAAAGGGGCACCACACATATCTGCGCAGTACAAATCTCATTTGATTTGTTTGAGGGCTGTGATACTGTCCAGGTGCCCAGACCGTAGCAGGTGGTTTTCTTAGCGGGCCACATCCGGAGCCTCTGACCCGAAAGTCTGATCTACAAGGCAGTGGGGTATCGTCAGGAGATGCAGTCCCATGGTAGACGGTGACCAATAATTGATTCATACGCCATTTGTTCCCTCAGGATACTGGAGTCAGCCCATGTGCACCATTGGTTTGGAATCAGGGTTTTCCAACTCCCCTATGTTTTAACGTGTGAGTGCGTGCTTGCCCTGTTTGGTATATGAACGTGCTGATCCCCGCCAATCAGAGAAGAGCGAATTATTGACCACAGCTATGATACACAAAAGCCGTATGAGCAGTCTTGAGTACTGATCAGTCCTGCTATCTGCCTAGCCCAGCCAGTTAAGTGCAGAACACCAATAACAGCTTCTGCGGTATGAATCGTTGTATTTCAAACATATTGAGTTTATATACCAAACAAACTGACCACATCGTACCAATAAAATAAAAAATGGCATTTGTACAAGATTCAGCCAAATGTGGCTGTGAATAGAAGGAGCAGTAATCAATAGACTGGGGATAACTCAAGAAAGGTAAATCGTATAATAATAGTATATAGGTCAAAATAAAGCTAATTATAAGGAGAACATGTATATGAATAGTTTAGTTACTTAGCAATTGTACAATAGGGAGTATACATATCATATTGGTCCATAGACAGTTCTCAAAATTATAATCCATAATTCTCTTCGGGATATAACACCCTAGGTGAACTTTCCGTGTCCACCAACCCGGTTAATGCGCCGTCCTCTCAATTTCGTAAAGTATATTAGTGCCACGAGAAGTCAGTGAGTAGGACTTTTCTGGGAGAGGCTATATACGCTTGGCCATATGAGAGCATTTCAAGAGAGAGAGCGGACTATCCCCACTCTCGGACATCCCAGGGTATTCGGGGGCAGTAATACAGTGTACACAGTTAATTTAGTAGTACTGTTTTGTTGTTTATACTATTTTGTTTTTCCTGTTTGTAACTCATCCTGATCATTCCTGTTAACTAATGTCTATTTATACCGCTTATTACCTAAATACCTTTTATATATATCAGTTATCTGTCAAGTCGTTATGCTGATTTAGTTCAATGTATCGGTGTGTCAAATCTTCAAAAAATCCATAATTTAAGTGTTTTCATGGTATGTTTCATAATGTTTTTTTGAACTGTTAATTGTGGGTTTGTCGGTTGGTTATTACTTTGACATTCTAATTCGGATCAGATAAGTAAATTCTATATATGACTTACTGTCTTTGTCTCTCGTCATAGAATTAATCACTGGACTATAATTGAGACTAGATTTCTGAAAGTAGAACTAATGGCTAATTAACTTGTTATATCTCGAACTAAGATTCTTAGTATGTCACGTTATACTTGAGCACTCGAATGCTAGAACTCTCTTAAGTCGCAAAATCAGAAGACAAGTAGAAGGAATGTTATTCCCAACACAGTGTCAAATATAGTACGAAATTCTCATGTATTTATAATTTTTTCGCTGAAAGTAAATCATCATTTCGGATAGCCAATAGGCACATAAGGGGTCATTCTTATTCATCCAATAGGGAAGCTACACATTGACATTCTAGTATGTTCCTCTAGCGGTGATTGGATGGAATGTCCTTGTCCCTTTCTGGGTTTCTTAAGGCTTCATTGAGTTTGCCAACCAGCCATCTCTACAATAGTAAAATAATAAAGTTCGGAGCAGTCAATAGATAATATTCAGTTATTGATGGAAATAAAGATGACTTATTTTTTCTCTCCATCAGGAATGCTCATCTATTATTCCCATAGAATTGATGATACTCGTAGAGTTTGAACGATCACTATTCACTCCGTCACCAAGGCGTACCTATAATCTGGAAGGAACTAATGCTATTCGTGTGTCCCAAACTCTCATCATTCAGTTTCAAAGTCTGAGATGCCTTGCTGACACCTCCAACCGTCTAACATCTCAATTTGGTACACGATATCAAGTCATTTAGATTAGTGGTCACACTGTAACTTGATTAATAGAATCTTATAAACATTAAAGGACTAGAAAAAACATAAGATTGATTAATAATTCAATTATATGCTACTTTTGTTGATCGAACTTCACTCCATACTTGACTTTCACCCTCATTGTTATCGTTTTACAGGTTGGTTGTGGTGCGATCGGTTGTGAATTATTAAAGAATTTAGCATTATTAGGTGTAGCCACTGCTGGATCTAATGATGATAATTTACATTCAGCAAACAACATGACTCATTCTAATCAACATCAGTATGAACAACAAGAAGACAACAAACAGTTTACATACACTACAACACTCCATACTTCGTTGATGTCTCATGTAAATGATGATGTTGAGGATCATCATCAAACGTTGTCACATTCAACAGTAGACGGTCAGCAACAACACTGCAATTCATCTTATCCTGAAGATAAACTCACTGGTAATTCTGAAACAATCATTAAATCATTCACATCACATCAAGTTTCTACATCTCAAAGACAATCAATAAATTCTGTACAAAGTGAATCCATCAATTCAATGATCAATATGAGCTGCCCAAATATTATTGTCACTGATCCTGATCATATTGAGAAATCAAATTTAAATCGTCAATTTCTTTTTCAATCATGTCATATTGGTTTGTCAAAAAGTCAAATTGCATGTGACACTGTGAAAAGAATTAATCCGAATATATCAGTAAGAGCTATGTGTGATAAATGTAAGCTAAATTCTCGAAATTTCGTATTTTTTTTTAAAGTCTTACACTGTTCAAACAAACTTATTATTATGTAGGTGAGATACAGATCTAGTGTAGGGGATGGTTAGAAAAGAGTTAGGGGCGGCCAAATCAAAACGTGGCACTATTGCTTGAAGTCACTAACTTCTAGTCTGAGCCATGTTGGCAGATGCAGACTACCTGGTTGGGGTCCGCGTGACTATCGTAACCAATGGTTGGAGACTCTAGGTGACATGGCTCAGAATCGATCACAATGGAGTAGATGTATACACTTTTAATCTTCCTTTAAAACTTGAGATTAAAATTGTTTCATATCTGTCTTCCTTCGTATACTATATCCTTATATACAACCTATCTTTTATATACTACCACCACTAAATTAACTATTTCTATGAATCCGGTGTTCATCTTGTTGTGCTAACGAGATATGGCAACTTGGACCGATGCATATATGTGCCTGGTCCTTCGTTATAGCTGACTGACTGACGAAAGATACAGGTCAAATATACTGTGTGGATAGATGTTTCTAATGTTCAAACTTAATGAGTTAGAGATGATCGGAAAGAAGTCGTGAATTTGGAAGTTGTACTAGTCGACACTTATTGACGGAGGTTTAATACAGTCTTCAAAGAAGTAAATCTTAACATAAAATCGTAGCCCATATCACCTACTGTTTCAGCTGAAGGTTTTATCATTGCATGTGAAATCTTTGATTAAACAATCAAACTAACTTGAATGGTGTATTTTAAGTACCGAACTATTATTCGTTTATTTCGGGACATCGAGTTAGCAATCCCAAGGTTATACATAAAGTACAAGGTAAAAATAGTAAACCTTCATTGACTGACGTGACTGGGACACGTATTGTGTGTCCCCATCCACACCTAGGGCCACCCAAACTAAAACCTAACTACACGCTATCAAGAAATTGGTTGTTTGACTGAGCCATATAGGTAAGTGCAGACTACATTATCGGTGTTCGCATGAATATTATAATCAATGGTTGGAGATTTTGGATAACATGACTCAAAGCTTGACACAATAGCATAGGTACGTTCACTCTTTGTCTTTCTTTAGTACGGCCTAAAGTCCGAAAATGAACTCATAAACGTTTCCGCTCCACCAATCCATATTTTCTACTCCTGTCTCATCATTGACGCCTGATCTTTCCTAGTACCGCTGTTAGTGTTATTGCTTTTGGAATTCTGAGATTTGCTTTGACGATCTTATTTTGCTGAGCTCATATGTTATGGCGACTTGAACTGATGTACACATGTGTCAGGTTCTACGTTGTGTATGACTAACTGAACGAATAAAAATTTTTCCGTATATTCAACTCTCATAATGTTGATGACACGTGAAGTCCGGCAATGCTACTGTCCGAAATCTCTCCTTACTCAATGATTCAGAAGCCAGTAAAGAAAAATGTCGAAAATAACAGGATATGAAAGTACAATCGGATTATAGGTCGATGTATGTCATTGTAGGAAATTTAAGCTGAATATTTATTGTAGGAGATGCACAACATAACGTATCTCAATGTGATCTAGCGCTGATGTTTTACTAAAGGTCTTCAGCTAGAAGTATATCCAGGTCAGCATCAGTGTTGAAAAACTACAAAGCTATTTATTTTATGGATTTCTTAACCGTTACACATCTATTGGTTGATTATAATCCAGGCAAATTGTTTTCATTTGTTAAAATTAGAAAAATTTATTGAGTTTGTAGTTTGACGTTACAGAATGCTTAGAGAACCATTGGAAGCCAGGAATTACCTAAGGGCTGGTTCACCCTGGTGTAGAATACCTTACCAGTCACTATCCTCTATCCTACCTAAAGTCAAACCCATGGTCTTCAGGCATTTCCTTGACTGCTTAAATTCTAGACTGTCTAGTTGACGTCCAGTGGTTTTTATTTCTAATTTCAATCAATTCAAAATCTTGCCGGGCTATTATTCTTTGCGACTGGTGTTAGTTGTCTCGTACTCATTGGAATTTCATGTCTGAATGTTAACTCCTTGACTCTGAACCTTAAGACTCTGGGTTTGATTCCTGATGGAGTCATCAGCATTCATTGCTGAGGAATCTTGTACTAGGACGAGATGTCTATCTATCGCTTTCTAGTTTTCAATGGTACTCTCACCAAAATAAGTCCGTTATGTGAAACTTTGAAGTTCGACAATCTTCATAGCATCCTATTGTAGTGAACAAAACACTGGTTGGGGACAATCAAATGTATTTCGACACAAATCACAAATTCTGATAACCACACAGTAAACAGTTAATTTACAAAATAACAATCAATTGTCTCAATCTTCACTGTTCCTTCTGTAAATATCATCCCATCTTCTCTAATCCCATTGTTCATGCATTTTTCTACCAAGTGCGCTTCATTTCTATTCGTTCCCTTATCGATCTTCTGCCAAAATACATTCTATGCCCGACCGTCACCATATACTACTTATATGAATATAAGTAGACTACACTACACTAGACTACTTGAATCAAATCTATCCACAGTTTTGTTCTTTTAATTGCTTCCAATTTTTCTGTTTTTTCTTTTTTCCTTAATTTCCAGTTTGGCCGAATACCGAGAAGTCCATTTTCACTGATGAATTTTTATTACAAGCAACAAAGTGCAGTAATTATAAACAAGGGATCACATCCTCTTCTTCTTCATCACATAAATATGGTATTGTACTAGCAGCTTTAGATTGTGTACCAACACGTCGTTATTTAGATTCACGTTGTGTAACTTTACATTTACCATTAATTGAATCTGGTACATTAGGCACTAAAGGTCATGTTCAAGTGATTTTACCTGATATTACTGAATCATATAATAGTCAAATGGATGATAACAATGATGTAGATGGTAATGGAAATATTGATAGTCAAGTAAATACTATTCCATATTGTACATTGAAATCATTTCCTACCTTACCAATTCATTGTATTGAATGGGCACGTGAGAAAGTAAGTTTAATCATTAAATGTAACGTTTGACAAGTTCTTTTTTTTATTCTGATGTGGGTTTGTTCTCTGAGCTGGATGGTTTGGTCGTGGAGCTTTCATCGTCCACGATCACCCACCTGAGCTACAAATCTTGTCCACCATCTATTTTGATTTATTTATGTTGTAATTTCCGTCATAGTAAATGATTTCAAAACAAAATGTCCACATTCCCATACTCAGTCAATCGGTGATTTCATAGTTTTCATATATATGTTATAACTTGTAACCGAGTGAATGCCTAGTTAATGTATGATGTGATAAGACCGCCAATCAGAGAGCAGCGAATTATCGATTGGAATAGTGACACACGGGAACCGTACGAGCAGTCTAGAGTACGTATCGGTCCTGCTTTCTGCCTAGCCCAGCCAGTTAAGTGCAGAACACCAATAACAGCTTCTGCGGTATGAATCGTTGTATTTCAAACATATTGAGTTTATATACCAAACAAACTGACCACATCGTACCAATAAAATAAAAAATGGCATTTGTACAAGATTCAGCCAAATGTGGCTGTGAATAGAAGGAGCAGTAATCAATAGACTGGGGATAACTCAAGAAAGGTAAATCGTATAATAATAGTCTATAGGTCAAAATAAAGCTTATGATAAGCGGAATATGAATATGAATAGTTTAGTTATTTGGCAATTATACGATGAATAATATATGCATAATATTGGTCCATAAATGGATCCTCAAGTTACCATTCAGTATCGTTATCGGGATATAACATCATTGGTGAATATAAAGACAATTGGTAATTTTTTTTCAGTAGTCATTCATACGGTGCATGTATTCTCAGGTTTTGTCGGTTTTTTGTAGCTAGCGGTGATCTCACAATATCGTGAATTTACTGAAGTTAGTTATTGTAGTTCATTGAATGTTAACTAGATTACTTAAAGATAATACTCTTGTGACTAGTCCAATAAGTTCTGGGACTGATGTTTGTTTGAACTGTAGAATGTGTTCTATAGAAGAATCCTATGCTGGATCGAAACACATATAACCAATGTTTCCTGGCTCATCATGGTTATATTAACTGGAATCAGTTCCTAATATTAACCATTTTCATGAATAATTTTTATATATATTATGAAATTATCTCCAAACTCTAAATTCCACTTATCGTGTGATCCATGAAACATATCGAAATGCATGTCGTAAAAGGGGTTTGAGCATTCAATCTCTTATCATTCTTAATTTCATCACTTACATATAATTTTTGACTCAATTACAAAGTAGATAGTCCCCCAAATGCTCTGGTACGGCCGAGAGTGGGGAGAGTCCGCTCTCCCTCTCCAAATGCTCTCACATGGCCATGCGTATATAGTCTCTGTCAGGGAAATCCTACTCATTGCCTTCTCGTGGCAATACTGTTGTTTAAGAAACCGAGAGGACGAAATGCGAATGTTCAACGCTTTGTCCGGTTTGGTGGACTGGATACGGAGAGTTCACCTAGGGGAGTTGAAGAACCCTGATTCCAAACTAATGGTAAACATTGGCTCCAGTATCCTGAGGGAACAAGTGGCTTAAGAGCCAATCGTTGGTGACCTGCTACCATGTGTCTGCATCTCCTCACGATGCTCCACTGCCTTGTGGATCAGATTTTTAGGTCAAAGTCTGCAGGTGTGACCCCCTAAGAAAACCACCTGCTTCGGTTTGGGCACCTGGACAGTATCACAGCCGTCACACAAATCTCATAGATATTGACATAGTTATACATACGAGCGCGACTAAAGATGATTATGTGTATCCTAATGTAGCAAAGATTTCAATAGAGTTATTAAAGTCAGAAACTTTGCTTGTTTCTAATAAATAAAGTTTAGTAAGAGAAGTTCCAGAACAATGAAATAGTAATTAGAATTCATGAAATTAACAACCATTAGATGGTTATGTAGTGAAGTTTCTGTGAACAGATTAATGGCAATAAAGAAAGATATGAATTGAATAAGAATGACAACGGGAAAGAGTTGAAATAATGAATAAGGGGATGTAGTGCTACCAGGACAATGAAAGATTTATTACTGTCTCTTTCTAGGTACATAGATCTGGTTTTAGACGTTTGATCGCTATCACTTCTGCAAATTTCAAGAGCTTGAATTTTGATTGCTTGTTAATCATCTTGAAAGACTTCAGTGTATCGACTTCATGTCTTATGTTGAGGAGATGTCTTAAGATGGCCCTGTTGAATGCTTTTAATCTATTTGACCTTAAACTTTTTGGAATATGTTATTTATTGCTTACATTGATCAACAATCAAACAACATTGTTATCACCTGTTTCTCTAACTCCACTCTGTTTCTAGACCACCATTAAATATCTGGAAGCACTAGACGGCTGCAGGTCCTGGGTTCGGGTCCCGAGTGCAGGATCGTGGATGTGCGCTACTGAGAAGTATCATACTAGGATGAAACGGTCGTTTAGTCGTTCCAGGTTTTCAATGGCGGTCTAGCTTACATCGACTCATGAATTGAACTATAATATTTTGAATTACTTATAAGTAATATATTTTATTTACTTAATGGAATCTATAACCCTTGTTACTTTTCAGCTGAAATCGTATAAGAACAACCATTTTTTATGTCATTAACGTTTTATTAAGTACTTAAATCAATGTAGCTTTGTGACTTGGTATCTGTTTCTTGTGAAAACAGTAGACTTTTCTAGTAAATAATTAATTTTCCGAAATTAACCGTACCTTTACCATGGTTCCAATTATGGACCCTGGCAGTATCTCAGACCTCACAAAAATCGAATGATTTATTTGGCGTATATTTATTTGGTGCCTCTTTGTACCAATGTTTATGTCTTTAAATAAATTAATGAATAAAATTTTTATTGGTTGGTTGGTTTTCAAGATTAATTGTCATCACAGTCCTCTGGTCTGTTCCGTCAGTATTGAGTTAGCTTAGTTTACAGTGTCATCGTGTCATGAAAACATCGTCCAATTTTACTGGTCAGCTTTATCTTCACTCCCACAATTCCATCAGTTATAACTTGACATTCAAAACTTATACCCTTCATCTTGAAGCTAAGCAAGCGTAAGCATACATCAAAAACATCTTTCGTGAAAAGACTGTGTGACCAGTTTTAAGCAATTATTTCTTGATTTCTGTGGTCACTCCCCTTGATCTTCAAAGTTACGCTTTATCTAACTCCCTCTTTACGCCTTTAAAGAACACTCAACCTTCCACCGTATAATCCACCGTATAATAATGGTTGGAGACTCTAGGTGACATGGCTCAGAATCGGTCACAATGGCGTAGGTGTATACACTCTTTATCTTCCCTTAAACCTTGAGACTAAAATTGCTTCATATCTCCCTTCCTGTACTATATCCTTATATACAACCTATAATTTATATACTACTACCAACACTAGATTAACTACTATGAATCCGGTGTTCCTCTTGTTGTGCTAACGAGGTATGGCAACTTGGACCGATGCATATATGTGCCTGGTCCTACGTTAGAGCTGACCTGACCTGACCGTATAATCGATTAGGTAGTTACAACTACTTACATACATTTTATAGCACTAGAGAACAATTTGTTCCCAATTAACTGTTATCATAGAAATCTACTCTCCCAATTTTTTCATCTGTTTGTTTTGATTATTCTTTCAGTGTATTTTTTTAAAAATTTCTATTCGTTTGCTTGTTTTTTTGCTTTTCCCTAAACAAATACCCTATTTAGTTTGCAAGTCAATTCACATTGAAACCTATGAAATTACAAACATTTCTACAAGCTTGGAATATGGAACAAAGTGAATATATGGATAGTTACCATGGTGAACAAACATTACAAAAACAAACACACCAATTAATATCAGATTTAATATTTTTAATGAATCTATGCAATGAAAATACTACTACCACTACTACTACTACTACTACTGATAATCATAATAGTAGTATTAATGTAATTGTTACATCAAATATATATGCTAATGATAAGATTTTAATGAAAAATTGGATTGAACGAATAAATTTGTTACAAGATCAATTAAGTCCTAATATTGGACGATTTTTATGCTCACGTCCATCTACATGGAATGAATGTTTATATTTAGCCCGTGATAAATTTCAGCATTATTTTAATCATAAAGTAAGAATGATAATTTTGGCTTTAGAATGACTCCAATTATAAATTCATTTTGTATTGTTTGTTTGAATCTTCCCATTGATGTGTTAGGACTGCAACTGGTCAGTCTCTAATTGGCCATATTTGCATACTGTGCGTATTGCCTTGATATAGCCTTTATTCACAAGCATGGTAAGCAAAGATGGATAATGACTAGCAGTGGAATCGAGTTTGACGTGCGTTTCGTCCTATATTGGACTCGTCAGCTGAATGTACCTGCATCTCAGAGTAAATGTTCACTCTGGGACTCGAACTCAGTACCTTTCGCTTCAAACGCAGTGATCGAGTGGATAACGCGATGGCGTTTGAAGCGAAAGGTACTGAGTTCGAGTCCCAGAGTGAACATTTACTCTGAGATGCAGGTACATTCAGCTGACGAGTCCAATATAGGACGAAACGCACGTCAAACTCGATTTCACTGCTAGTCATTATCCATCTTTGCTTACCATGACTCCAATTATGTTTTTCGCTGAACTTCTGTTGTTGTTTGGATTTTAAATGGAAGCTGTCACGATTCCTCAGATTACGGTCCAAATATTCTTAGTATTCATTAAACAAATTCTTAAATCAGAACACGTCCGAGTAGGAACGAGATTATATTCTAAATAATGAAGGTAGAGGGAAGTAGGAATGACAATAAGAGGAACGTTAGTATATTTATAATTTTTTTATGTAGGATTCTAGGCATCCGCTAACGCTGATTGGCTAAGAAATAGCCACTGTCATGGAAAGTCCTACTCAATGCCTTCTCGTGGTGGCCCAGGGTGTTGTTTACGAAATTGAGAAAACGAAAATCGAATGTCTGGCGTTTTAAGCGGGTTGGTGGACACGGAAAGTCCATCTAGGGGAGTTGGAAAATCCTGATTCCTAACCAATGGTGCACATGGGATCCAATATCCTAAGGGAACAAACGGCGTATGAATCAACCACTGGTCATCGGCTACCATGAGACTGCATCTCCTCACGATGTGGATCAGATCTTTAGGTGAAAGGCTCCGAGTGTGGCCGCTTAAGAAAACCACCTGCTTCAGTTTGGGCACTTGGACAGTATCATAGACCTCACACAAATCAAATGAAAATTTCTGAAAATTTACTTGAAAAGTTAATTAACAAATCTGGATGATATTCGATAAAGTTTTGATTTATCTAGGATTTTAGCGATAAACTGGTAGAGGCTGATGTAGATCTAACTGAGTACCATTTATGAGACAGTTATTTGCTGATGACCTGAATAAACATGAAAATTTCCCTTCTTGAAGTAAACTGCATACTATCGACACTATTCAGAAAGGCGTATTTATATATTTTTCTCAGAGGAAATAGCAAATTCTATCTATGAGATTAAAAATTTGGTCATTCAGTGTTACATTATCGCTCAGATGTTCAGTCGTCGGTTGAATTTTTTAATGATTTGTCTATTTACACTGATTGCTCACTAAGCAGTAACTGAGGTATTGACACAGTTTCCTCTTTAAATAAACTGCAATAAAAGTATACCATAGGGAAGGCTTGAAAACAATCATGACGAATTTGCAGCTAATTTCTAGTCAATAGGAAAACAGCTTTTATAAATGGATGGTTTATGGAAAACAAAATCATTATGTTGCAAAGTCTCAATAGAGTCTATACTATTAATATTTGAACTAGTATTTTATACAGGTTACTCTCACTGTAAGTCGAAAAAAAAGCGATTTCCAACCCCTTTTTATTAAATATACATTATCCACATTCTCGAACCCCTAAAAGGTCTGAAACAGATTTTCAACAGTCCCCACATTGTTCTTAGTTAGGGTTAAGATTAAGCGTTTAAGTTTAGAGTCTTCATCAAGAACTGACATAAGCTCTGACTCAAACTAACACTAGCCCTCACATAGCCACGTACATACAACCACTATGAAGGAATTCTTACTCACTTCCTTTTCGCTGTAGGTGTGTTTACGAAATCGAGACGACGAAAAGCAAATGTCCGATGCTTCAACTAGAAGATCCACCTACGTGAGTTGGAAAACCCTGATTCCACACCAATCATGCACATAGGCTATTTAAACAAAGAAAAGAAACATTATAGGATTTAGATTTTTAAATATTACTTATTGGAAATCAGACACCGAGATTAATATCTATCAGATTTCAATCCTTTCATTATGTCATTATTAACTTGAATGAAAACAGATCTTACATAATCATTTGTAATCATTTAAGCCGATTTTTTTTACATTCTCCACTTTTTTTATTTTTTAGGCTCGTCAATTGTTACATTCTTTCCCCATTGATACAAAATTATCAGATGGATGTGAGTTTTATTAAGTTTTTTACTTGTTGAGATTTTGTTTTCAATATTTTCATAGTTGAAATCATGAGTCAATTGAAGCTAAACCACCATGGAAAACCTGGAAACACTGGACAGCCGTTTCGTCCTATTGTGGGACTCCTCAGCAGTGTGCATCCACGATCCCGCACTCACGAGATTCGAACCCAGGACCTACCAGTTTCACACCAGAGCACTTAACTGATTGACCACTGATTTCAGCTATCTCCACAAAACCCCTTCTGATTATAATCATATTCTCACTAGTGACTGACTTCAATATATATGTCCTGGTAATCTAGTGGGAAGCAGCGACCAGTGGAGTTCAACCAAGTCTGTTGTGAGATAATAACTCACTGAAAACAATTGGTGAACAGTTGCTCAACTTCGTGGATTGGTTGAAGTTAAACGTTAACTCCGTCGGATGCCTGCCGTCTCAGTGGTTTGTCGGTTAAGTGTTCTGGCGTGAGGCTAGTAGGTCCTGGGTTCGAATCTCACGAGGCGCACTGCTGAGGAGTCCCGCGATAGGACGAAACGGCCGTCTGGTGCTTCCAGGTTTTCGATGGTGATCTAGCTTCAATTGACTCATGTTTTCAACTATGAAAATACTGAAATCTCCACAAAACCCCTTCTGGTTTTTTTTCAGGTTTTTTTTTCTTTCGATTGCTGTTATGGTACACAAACTCATGTTTTTCTTTTTTTTTCATTGATGACCGAACTCTAACGATCAAGTTGAGGTGCTGTCAACTGACTCGATATCGCGTACACTACGCTGAGATGTTAAGTTGTTAGAGGTGTACAGAAGAAAACTATTTGTTCTAAGTTTCTTGCTAGTTAGCACTTTTCAGCAGGACATATAGAACGTTAAGGGTATTGATCCTGTCAAGATTGCCCGGTATGCCTTGCTTACGAGCACTAAGTAGCACTAAATATCGACCAAGAAAGATTTTCTACCGACTATCTCCGATTCCCCAATGTACTATTGTTGTCTTTGCTTTTTTTGTTGATGTTTTGGTGAAGAATATATCCTTCGGTTGACCCAACAGACCTATTAATTGAGTTCTATTTGTTTTTCCTGTTTGGTGGGTTGTAAAACACGTTTTCTAAAAGGCAGCTCTAACTTCTTAATTCGTCAGTTCTTCTTAATTTCGACTCAATATTTTTTATCCCGCCAAACGTACTCCACTCAAAAGCGTTTTTCATTTATCGAATAATTGATGGTTTAATATACCAAGGGGTGTTCTTAAAAATAGGTTTATCAGAGATAGTTAGTATGGTATGTTTGGAGATATTTTTTGCTTTTGATAAAGTCACCGTCTCGTACGATTTTTAGTGACTGAATCTTGACTTTTCGGTAGCTTCAAGAATATAGACATATACCAACACCTGTTTGTAACCATTTTCTTGACATGGAGCAGTGATTCGACCCTATCGATCGGATAATTCTGTAGCAGGAGTTGTAACTAAGGTATCTTTCAAAAAAGCACAAACAAATTTCTACTCTGTCAAGACGGTCATATTAAGCGTTATGAATAACTGGCACCTGGATTGTTAACCTCAAGTGGAGTTCGTCAGGTTTTCTCATTCATCCCACCTTTATTTAACTTTGTTGTAGGTATTCTATTAAAGATAATACTTTCTTCGTCCGGCTTTTCAGAAATCAAGCTACTAGGAGATCCTCTCTCTATGACCTGATCTCCAAATGTATAGTAGTTAATCGTTTATCTAGTCGATTAAAAATTGTAATAGTTGACATCATGAATCAATTGAAGTTAGAACATCATGGAAAACCTGGAAACCTGGATAGCTGTTTCGTCCTATTGTCAGACTCCTCAGCAGATAACCATTGGAAAAAAAATAAAGAAATATCCCACTGAACATCACATCCTGAACTCTAATATCTTACTTCCAAATTAGTTTATTGTCATTCAGTGAGTGATCTATGTTTCTCAAATCATTTAATTCACAATATATAATACCACCATCATTCAATCCCAATGCTAAGGACTTGCCACATGAGAAAAGACTAAACAACTGTTTAATACTTCCTAATTTCCAATAGTTGTTTAACTAAATTACCCAATACCTAGTTGTTGTCTATTTTGTTACCTATTCGATAGAAGAAAACCACCATAAGGAAATTTCTTTATTCTAATATATCTTGAATTGAAAGTTTTAATTATTGAATGATTGTCAAGTTTTGCTCTTCTTCTTTCTTCATTCATCTAATTTAACAGTTAATTATTCCCCCCTTCCCTAAGAAAAGAAGGTTCATTCTAGGCAAATAGAGATATAATTGAATTTTAACTCTCCTGATTCTTGTTGCTTTTAGTCTCTTCTGTGTTTCCCTTTTTCCCTCTCCCTCACCCCTTCTCTCTCTCTCTCTATGTGTGTGTGTGTGAGTTGCTAGTTACTAAAAAAAGAGAACGAGAGAAATGAGAAAATGACTACAAATGATTTCAATTAATCATATTTATATTATACATATATGTATATATAATGATGATGATCTAATTATGATAAGAAACATTTCAACTGACCTCTGATATATTCCATGGTTAATCAATTCTATGCTTCAATCTGTTATTCCCTTATTGTTATTGGTAGAATATAATGTTCATACTTAATTTTCTTTTAAATTCTATATTATCAAATGTAACCATTTCATATTATAGTATTCTATCACATAGATACACCATATCTTTTACCCTCTGGCAACTAATTCTTATCACTGTCTTTATCTATCTATCTATCTATCTATCTTTTGAGATCATTCAAAATTCTATGGCATTGGATACTTTCATCAGAAAAAAAACACATTTGACATTAAGATGTCTTGTTGTTCATTGACTTTGATATTAAATTAAATCAATCAGTCAGTCAGCTACAACGTAGGACCAGGCACACATATGCATCGGTCCAAGTTGCCATACCCCGTTAGCACAACAAGATGAACACCGAATACATACTTACTTACTTACTTACGCCTGTTACTCCCAATGGAGCATAGGCCGCCGACCACCATTCTCCAACCCACTCTGTCCTCGGCCTTCTTTTCTAGTTCTATCCAGTTCTTGTTCATTCTTCTCATGTCTGTCTCTATTTCTCGGCGTAATGTGTTGTTTGATCTTCCTCTTCTCCTTTGACCTTCAGGATTCCATGTGGGGCTTGTCTTGTGACTCAATTAAGTGATTTCCTCAAAGTGTGCCCAATCCACTTCCAGCGCTTCTTCCAGATTTCTTCCTCCACTGGAATCTGGTTTGTTGTCTCCCACAGTAACTTGTTGCTGATAGTGTCTGGCTATCGGATCCGAAGTATCTTGCGTAGACAGCTGTTAATAAACACTTGTATCTTCTGGATAATGGCTTTCGTAGTACTCCACGTCTCCGCCCCATACAGTAGAACTGTCTTGACATTTGTATTGAAAATTCTTACCTTGGTGTTGGTTGACAATTGTTTTGAGCTCCACATGTTTTTCAGCTGTAAGTATGCTGCTCTTGCTTTGCCGATTCGCGCCCTCACATCTGAATCTGATCCACCATGTTCATCAATGATGCTGCCCAGATATGTAAAGTTTTCCACATCCTCCAAAGCTACCGAATGCATAGAAGTAATTTAGTGGTGCTAATATATAAAAGAAAGACTGTATAGAAGGATATAGTATGGGAAGAAAGAAAGTTATGAAGCAATTTTAATCTCAAGGTTTAAGGGAAGATAAAGAGTGTATACACCTACGACATTGTGATCGATTCTGAGCCATGTCACACAGAGTTTCCAACCATTGGTTACGATAGTCACGGGGAGCCCAACCAGGTAGTCTGCATCTACCAACATTGCTCAGACTTCAAGTTAGTGACTTCAAACACTGATGCCATGTTTTGGTTTGGCCGCCCCTAACTCTCTTCCAACCATCCTCAACACTAGTCAGGATTGCGCGTCGTGGTAATCGGTGTTCAGGCGTACGTAACATGTGGCCAAACCATCTCAGTCGATGAAGATTCATAACCTCATCAACTGATTTACCATCATTCCCTAATAGCCTGTGTCTAACCTCACTATTACTTACCCGGTGATCCCAGCAGATGCGAGCAATATTTCTAAGACATATGTGGTCAATAACTAGTAACTTACGAGTATCTTCTACTCTCAATAGTCAAGAGTAAGATAGATGATTTGTAATGGATATTCAATTTAAAGTTGATTTTCATCGTCTGAAGTGGTTGAGATATATTTTATATGCTTCTGACTACCATCAGCAGGGTATTAGGAAATGATGGTATATCAGTTGATGAGGTTATGAATCTTCATCGACTGAGATGGTTTGGCCACATGTTACGTACACCTGAACACCGATTACCACGACGCGCAATGCTGACTAGTGTAGAGGATGGTTGGAAAAGAGTTAGGTGCGGCCAAATCAAAACATGGCATCAGTGCTTGAAGTCACTAACTAACTGCCATGTTGGCAGATGTAGACTGCTTGGTTGGGGTCCGCGTGACTATCGTAACCAATGGTCGGAGACTGTAGGTGGCATGTCTCAAAATCGATCACAATGTCGTAGGTGTATACACTCTTTATCTTCCATTAAACCTTGAGATTAAAATAGCGTCATATCTGTCTTTCTTCCTGTACTATATGCTTATACACAATCTTTCTTTTATATATTACCATCACTAAATTACCTACTTCTATGAATTTGGTGTTCATCTTGTTATGCTAATGAGGTGTGGCAACTTGGACCGAAGCATATGTGTGCCTGGTCCTAGTAGCTGACTGACTGAACTACTATCAATTTCAATGTACGACGTTTCTTGATGTAGTAGAAGGTTTGAGGAATTCCAAAGAACAGCCAAATCGAAACATGACGTTAATCTGTAAATTCATTGAGAATTGGGTCAAGTCATGTTGGTAGATTTAGATCATCAAGTTTCAATCTACTCTAGCAGTATTCATCATCGGATGTCGAGTTGCGTGGTGGATGGGGACAGACAATGCGTTTCTCACTCACCTCAGTCGATGAACATTTACCACCCGATCAATAAATTTGCTATTCTCAACCTGTACTTTATGTATCACCTTAGCATTGCTACCTCGATAGTCCCAACTTACATAAGAAATGCTTTGAAAGGAGTCTATGATGAAATACTAGTAACTTACAAGTATCTTATATTTCTGAGGACTACATTTAATACTCATAAGTTAAAATAGAGCAAACTGCTTAACAGCAGAACCACCATTTCTTTGGTGAATAGACATTTTGTTTCTGACACATTGACGTAAGCTGGCTGACCGAACTCACCTAATGTGTACAGAAACTTTTCCAGAAACTGGGCCATCAAGGCTAATGAAACTTCCGATGCCGTAATCAATGGTTTGAGATACTGTATGACCTGACCTATAATCAGTTACAGTGATGTAAATGCATTCATTCTCTATCTGAAGTTTCAAATCATATCGTATTTAGAAGGGGATTTGTGGAGATTTTAGTAATTTATAGAGTTGAGATCATAAGTCAATTGAAGCTAGACCACCATCGAAAACCTGGAAGCACTGGACGGCCGTTTCGTCCTACTGTGGGACTCCTCAGCAGTGCGCATCCACGAATCCACTCTCGCAGGATTCGAACCCAGGACCTACCAGTTTCGAGCCGAAGCCATTAACCGATAGACCACTGAGCTGGCATTCAACGGTGTTAATGTCTAACTTCAACTGATCCACGAAGTTGAGCAACCATTAACCAATTGCCTTCAGTGAGTTGATATCTCACAACGGACGTGATTGAACTCCACTGGTCATATCGTATTTGCCTAACTTTTTTATATTACTAATGGTAGTATTATATAGAGTTGAGATCATGAGTCAATTGAAGCTAGACCACCATGGAGAACCTGGAAGCACTGGACGCCGTTTCGTCTTATTATGGGACTCCTCAGCAGTGCGCATCCACGAACCCACTTTCGCAGGATTCGAACCCAGGATCTCAATCCTATAAATTACTAAAATCTCCACAAAACCCCTTCTGATAATAATCAGGTGTTCACTAGTGACTGACTCCTTGATGTATTTCCTGGAGTTCTAGTGAGAAGCAGTAACCGGTGGAGTTCAACCAGGTCTGTTTTGAGATAGGAACTCACTGATGACATTGGTGAATGGTTGCTCAATTTCGTGAATCAGTTGAAGTTAAACATTAACACCGTTGGATGCCAGCTCAGTGGTCTATCGGTTAATGGCTTCGGCTCGAAACTGGTAGGTCCTGGGTTCGAATCCTGCGAGAGTGGATTCGTGGGTGCGCAATGCTGAGGAGTCACACAGTAGGACGAAACGGCCGTCCAGTGCTTCCAGGTTTTCGATGGTGGTCTGGCTTCAATTGACTCATGATCTCAACTCTATAAATTACTAAAATCTCCACAAAACCCCTTCTAATGGTGGTATTGCTAAATCTGTTATTTGATTTCATCATTTGTTTCACTGGACTTATATGGTATTACTACTTAAAATATACATCGTATGTTTAAGATTCTGTCTTACTTATCGGTGACCTACTTTTCAACATAGTTATCTATTCACTTAGTGTTATGATTTGACCTAGCCGTCACCCAATCGTTATGTCTTGATCAAGGTCGTCGCTAATTTGTTATGACCTTACGAATTAAACAAGGACGTAACTTGCGTGAATTATCCGCCAATAGAAATACGACTCCTATGACCTTCACACTGTGACAATGACGTTCGATTAGTATGAGTAATCTAGCGTCTTTATTGGTCCTTATCCGCCTAACCCGTCCACTTGAGTCCAAAACACCAATAGCAGCCTCGGCAATACGAATTGTTTATTTCAAGCATACTTTGTTTATATATCAGACAGACAGGCCACATTACACCATAAAATAGAAAATAATATTTGTACAAATTCAAGCCAAATGTGGCTAGGAGCGTGGGAGACAATAATCAATAAACTGAGTATAACTTAGTAACAGTAAATCATATAATAATAATCAATGGGCCAAAATGAAGCTTGTCATAAGATGAATATAGATATAGATAATCTAGTTACTGAATAGTTATACAATAAGAATAATAGGTCCTGCAAGTTATCCGTACTTATGTCTTCGCTACTATATAACACTTAGGACTTTCAAATCTTGCTACAAGAATGATATCATTTCAATAATGACCATATAATTTTATAACATCCGTTTATTTTTTTCAGTCAGTCAACAACAACAACAACGTATAACTTCGTACGTACAAACATCACTTCAAGTTGCCATACCACATTAGCAGAGAGATATAATTGCCGATTCCAATCCCATAGTGTTAGAAGTAGTAAAAGTATTAGCAGTAGTCGGAAAGATTAGGGTTTTAATTCATCTGAAATTAGTAGCGAATAATGTCACACAAGAAATAGTTACAAGAGTTACCAAAAAGACCTTTATTAATGAGAGGTTTTCTGACAAAATTGTGATTGGTTATACATAAGTGTTTTTGTTCTCAGTTATCAACATTAATAAGAGGAAAACTAAACAGAACTTATGAATATGAGTATCATTCTTCTATTGAATCAATGAATGTCATCATAGATTGAATATCTTAATGAGTAAGACATGGACATTTATGTGGTGCATACTCGGGTTGGAATCTCAATGTGGATACCGACACTTGGACATTATTTTTATTCGATTGAATAGTCCCAAATTGGTTGAAATGCACATCCTAGATTTTACTGATGGCCTGTATTTGAAATATACTGAGGTATATCGAGAAAAATGTAATTGGAGGATGATCATTTTCAAGGTTTAGCATCACAAAATTGTTTAATATTCGCTGACTGGTAAGTGTGCTATGATCTACATAACACAGTGGTACTGTCTTCGATGTCGGCTTCAGTTCTCCTAAAGTTTCAAATATTTCTCACGGATACGTGTGAACAAGCCGAAGACAAACCATGACTCGACCAGTTAGTCTAAGGTACCTCTATTGGTATGAAAACGTTTATCGGTTCTCGGTTCCTCATACCATGAGTACGAAAAGGAAATTAAATTAAGGGTGATTTTGATAACTGAAGAGTTTCAACACAGAACCGAAAGCGATAACTATTGAAACTCAGTCACACAGTGCTGTTTGTGAGTAGTTTTGTACATGCTAACTCCGAACTTAAGACCTTGATTGGGTAACTGCGATATCCAAGAGGTGAACACAATACTGCAAAGATCTGTCTGTCAATTGTCTTCAACCATGTAACAACATCAAATTTACTAGAAATCTATATTCCATTGTGGCCCTATATGAGGTCATATATATGGAAATCAACCCGAATAGTATAATGATAGGATTTCCACTTATTATGCTTTTGTTACTTGTTAATTTTTAGTTTTAAGGTAAAGATCTTTCCGACTTTTCTTTTTTTCTATTTCTTGTTTAGCACCATTTTGGCAATTCCCTAAACGTCCACCTAAATCGATTGAATTTTCCATTACAGATCCTTTGTAAGTTTTGTCTCATTAATTTCTTTAAGTATATTTTCTAAAAAAGATAACTAAATAATTGTTTCGATAAACTATACTACATATGTGCCACACAAATCTTATTTGATTTGTGTGAGGGCTGTGATACTGCCCAGGTGCCCAAACTGAAGCAGGTGATTTTCTTAAGGGACCACATTCGGAACATTTGACCTAAAGGTCTGATCCAAAAGGCAGTGGAGCAACAGAAGGAGATGCAGTCCAATGGTAGCCGATGACCAACGATTGGTTCATACGACATTTGTTCTTTCAGGATACTGGAGCCCATGTGCATCATTGGTTTGGAATCAGTGTTTTCCAACTCCTCTAGGTGAACTTTCCGTGTCCACCAACCCGGTTAAATCGCCGGACATTCGCTTTTCGTCCTCTCAATTTCGTAAACAATAGTAATGCCACTGTGAGAAGTCAGTGAGTAGGACTTCCCTGATAGAGACTACATACGCGTGGGTACATGAAAGCATTTGGAGAGGGAGAGCGGACTCTCCCCACTCGCAGCCGTACCAAGGCATTAGGGGGCGTTAAAATATGCAATCAGATCCGATTACTATTTCATTGTATCGATAAAAAGTAGAAATTCTTTTTCTACAAAAAAACGAAGTCTTCCCTAATCCTTCCATCCATTTTACTTAATTATATTCTTCTCTCTTTTACTGTCTGTCATTATATTTACATATACATATATATAGTCAATGACCTTAATGCATATTTATTTTTATATGTTTATTATTTGTTCATTTTAACTAAAATAAAATTTATTTTTTTTTTTGAAATGAAGTGTAAAACAATTTTTTTTGTTTGTTTTTTCATTTGGAAAAAAAGAATTCTTGAAACCAAGCCAATTTTTTTTTAGTTTCTCAAAGAGAGTATGGTATCTACTCCCCTGCCCCCTCTCTCTATATATATGTGGTGTCTACCTCCCTCCCTCCTCTCTCTCTCTCTCTGTATATATATATATATAATTTATTCTTTAGGGTCACTGAAAATAATTGATGATTATTTTCGCGCATATTTTGGTTTAACTTTAAAAAAAGTCATTTGATTTAGTTGATTCTCATGATAATCATCATCTGTTCAAGGTCATGGGTAATAGAATACTTTAGGTCGATGTAAATGAAAGCATTTTTCCTCTTCTTTCGTTTGTCATACACACATATTGAAATATATGTTGCTTGTATAGAGAAAGTAAATGATGAAGTGTTATATAAATATTTAGATTGTAGTTCGTCAGTTGGATGTATTTAGATCATGTGCCTCCAAATGCCCTGGTATGGCTGAGAGTGGGTAGAGTCCGCTCTCCCTCTCCAAATGCTCTTACATGGCTACGCGGTAATAGCCTCTGTCAGGGAAGTCCTACTTAATGCCTTCTCGTGGCGGGATAGGCTGTTGTTTAGAAAATCGAGAGAACGAAAAGCGAATGTTCGGTGCTTTAAGCGGGTTAGTGGACACGGAAAGTTCACCTAAAGGAGTTGGAAAACACTGATTCCAAACCAATGGTGCACATGGGCTCCAGTATCCTGAGGGAACAAATGGAGTACAAATCAATCGTTGGTGACCGGCTACCATGGAGTTGCATCTCCTTACGATAATCCACTGCCTTGTGTATCAGACCTTTAGGTCAAAGGTTCCGGATGTGGTTCCTTAAGATAACCACCTGCTTCAGTTTGGTCACATGGGCAGTATCACAACCCTCACACAAATCAAATGAGGTGGAATCGTGGATGCGCACTGCTGAGGAGTCCCATAATGGGACGAAACGCCCATCCAGTGCTTCCAGGTTTTCCATGGTGGTTTAGCTTCAATTAACTCATGATTTCAACTATGATAATCATAATCATTTAGAAATATTTGAATAATGCAAACAGTGTAAGCATACGTACATATACATATACTTACGTACATTCACACTACTACTACTACTGTAGTAAACGAGAACACAACTGGGGACAATCGAATGTAATTGAGCACATATTACAGACTTTCTCACTAAATCCTGATAACCATACAGTAAACAGTTAAGGTGAAAACTATCAATCCATTGTCTTAATCTTGACTATTCCTTCCGTAAATATCATCCCATCTTCTCTAATTCCATTGTTCATGCATTTTCCAACCAATTGCGTTTCATTTCAGTTCTTTCCTTATCGGACCTCTGCCAAAATACATTCTATGTCTAACCATCACTATATACTACTTATATGGATATAAGTAGACCACACCACACTACTACTACTACTACTACTATTTCTAATTTTAAAATCTTCATCAATAATACTATATGGTTGTTTATTTTACTTTTTATTATAAATAACCAACACATATGATGAGCTCATTATCATTTATAATAAATCAGATGTTATCATTGTGTATTCAGCACAACATACTCAACATCACGCTATTATCTCACGATCTATTTTTATGTCATTTAAGTGAATTAGAATCATCTTAACTACAAACACCTAATCAATGTTAAATATTCCGGGTTAAAGTAACCATGTTCATTGTTTATTGATTTATTTCAACACATAAACATTGATACAAACAGGCACCAAATACATATGTGTCACATTTCATCATTCGATTTGTGTGAGGGCTGGAATACTGGCCGGGAGTTCGAATCCAAGCAGTTGTTTTTCTGAGGGTGCCACATCACGATCTCATGATCTATAGGTCTAATCCAAAAGTCAGTGAGGCAACGTTAAGAGATGCGGTCACATGGTAGCCGGTCACCAACAATGGGTTCATAAACCATTTGTTCCCTCAGGCTCCTGGAGCCCATATGTATCATTGGTTTGGAACCAGGGTTTTTCAACTCATTTGGGTGGATTTTCCATATCACACAACTCGGTTAAAGCGTTTGACATTCGCTTTTCATCCTCTAAGTTTTGTGAACAACATCCCTGACATGAGAAGGCAGTGAGTAGTACCACGCTGGTAATAGTTGTATATGCATGGCTGCATGAGAGCATTTTGACAGGGAGAGCGAACTCTTTCCACCCTAACCGTACCAGGGCATATGTAGCTTGATTTCTGATTTGTACCGATGCTAACGTTCTTTTTAATCGGTTTAGAATCGCTAATGATAATAAACAAAAGCCTACATCTGAAATTAATGTGGTTGGCGTTTTTTAGGCAGAATTTTTTTTTCTACGGGATAGGGTTGCTAACCCTATGCCCAACCCTCCTTCATTACCCGGGTTGGGGTCCGGCTCTGAGAGCCACAGTTGGAGTTTACGCCTTAAATACTTAGTTCTAAATGTAGATCACCAATAATAAGAAAAGTAGTCTATTTCCAATCTTTTTCAGCATAAATATGTATCCTAATTGTTGTGTAATCGCAATTTAGGAATTCTGTTTATATGTCTTGTACGATGGTTTAATGGTCTATACAGTCAGGATTATTCCAGTAATCTAAAACTGTGATTGTGTCACAGCGTTTGTAGATATGATTCGGTACTGTGGGTTCTTATACATCCAAGTGCCGTTAATTGTATATCTTATTCTGCCTTAATCGAGTAGAGGACATAACAGAAATGTGTTGATGTTCTTTCCGCATCCATTAACAAATATATTTTATGAATCTTTTTCGATTAATTTCATTCTTTACATGGCCTGTCACACAATTCCTATTCACTGCTTTCACTGAGTGGGTTATTTACGAATGTGAAAGAACAAAAAGCAAGTGTATAATGCTTAAACCGTATTTATGGATATACACATTATCTATCTACTAAGGTTGTAAGATCCTGATTCAAATCCAGTAGTGTACTTTGGCTCCTTCATCATGAGGGTATCAAAAATATACGGAGCTCTTTCCGTTCACGGGCTACCATGGAGTGGTAGCTCTTGACGTTACTCCATTGTCTTATGAAATGGATCTGTAGATCAAAGACTCAGGGAGCAGCCCCTTAAGAAATCTTTTTTTTCAGTTTTTTTCATATACATAGTTCCTTTTACGATCTTAAAGGAAGCAAGAACGAAGATTAATGCTTAATAATCTGAATTCATTTTATCTCATTAGGTTCTCATCTGCTACTTACAACCTATAATATTTTAAAGTCATAGTTACTATAGCTATTGACATACTTATAAATATGAAGGTGATTAAAGATGAATATGTGTATCATGATGTAGCGAAGATTTCAATAGACTTAATAAGGTTAGAAAAATCGTTTGTTTCAGATAAATAAAGTTTAAAAGGGAAAGTTTCAGAACATTAAAATAGTGATTAGAACTCATGGAGTTTACTTTTATTCATTTATTTATACACAAAAATATTGGTACAAGGAGGCACTAGATACATATGCGCCACGCAAATCTCATTCGATTTGTGTGAGGGCTGTGATACTGCTCAGGTGCCCAAACTGAAGCACGTGGTTTTCTTAGAGGGCCACACCCAGAGCATTTGACCTAAAGGTCTGATCCACAAGGCGTTGGAGCATCGTGAGGAGATGCAGTCCAATGGTAGCCGGTGACCAACAGTTGGTTCATACGCCATTCGTTCCATCAGGATACTGGAGCCCATGTGCACCATTGGTTTGGAATCAGGGTTTTATAACTTCCCTAGATGGACTCACCGTGTCCACCAACCCGGTTAAAGCGCCGGATATTCGCTTTTCGTCCTCGCAGTTTCGTGAACAACACCCCACCCATGGAACGAGAAGGCAGTGAGTAGGACTTTCCTGGTGGAGGCTATAAACGCGTGGTCATGTGAGAGTATTTGGAGAGGGAGAGCGGACTCTCTCTACTCTCGGCCGTACCAGAGCATTTTGGGGGCTCTTTCATGGAGTTAACAAACATTAGATGATTATGTAATGAAGTAATTGAAAACAGAGAAGTGGTAATAAAGAAAGATATGAATTGAAATCAGGCAGTTAAGAATTGAAGAAAAGTAACAACGATGTAACCAAACTTCAGAAAGAGTTGAAATAATGAATGGTGTATTAAATAAGAATGAGGTGCCTGCT